GTTAACTTTTCTTTCACATAATATGTCACTACCATCTAAATGCTAAATAAACTAAGCAAGGTCACACTATATTGTTCCATAATTTGAAAAAGTAAAACAGAAATATTTATAAGCAAAAATGCTTTGCAAGATGTTAAGTTATGACAGATATACGAATTACTGGTACCCCATCTCTTGTGTTTGAAAAAGTTGTGTAAAATGGTAGTCGGCATAAAGCTGAGATTGTTAATTATAAAGTTATTGTTCTTTGGTTAAAAAAAAGAAAATAGAAATTGTGATGTTTCTTTCTGTTGTTTTGGAGTTTTATCAAAGAATTTTAGCATGTCAGTAATTTTCTCCGTTACTTTATTCATCAACTGTAAAGGCAATATTTCTATGGATGGTGTACGTTGTTCTTATTTGAGGTTTTTATGATAGAAAAAATACTTGCAGAGGCTGGGTGTATGAAAGTAAGAAAAAAAGTGCACAATCTTCTCTTGCATATGTTGGAAAAAAAGACTGAGATCTAAGATCTGAAAGGAAATAGATAAGATTATTGCTGTCACGAGAGGCTCTAATAATAAAATTAATATGTAATATCCAGAATCAGTGGAATGTTTTTAAATGGGAAGCAGTTCTTCATGGAGATGAAATCGTTTGTTGAATGAGAATTTTTCAGGTTTTATCATTTGAACAAAAATTATCATGTAAGTACGAAAATGTTCACCATATGATGTGAACAAAATGTTTACATTACGTTTGTAATAAAGTGCTTAGGTCATCATAAAAATAGCGAATACAAAAAAAAGGCCAAATGGGAATCAGTGAAGCGTGAAATGAAGTCGACGCATTAAGAAGGAGCAAAACTTCAAGCGTAAAAATTACAACTGTTTGTTAAACGGCACGAGTCGTGACGGTTGTGTTTCTCAAAAGTGGAGAAACACGTGGCTTTGTTTTTTTTAGTTTAAATGCTTTGCGTAGTTAATAAAGTAGAACATCACCAAATTGCTCAATAAGATTTATACATTTAACCCGTGAAAGAAAGCAATTTTCCAGAAGGTTTAAAAATATAATGTCAGGTAATTAAAACTAATCTCCTTTAATGCTTGCATCAACAATTTAATGCGACTCTTAGTTCGTAAACCAAAGCGTGCAATATGCTTCCATTGCATTATTTGCACGCATGAAGAAACTATACGCTTAATTCTTCTTGCAAATAACACAAGTGACCATGCAAGTTGACTTAAGTGAACCTGCTGACATTAAACGTAGTTTCATTTTTAAGAAGGACAAGTTTCTCATTCACTGATGTTTTTGGTTTTGGTAAATTAAAGCTACATGAAGCTAACTAACAACTGAACATAACTACAAATCATTAATGTGTGTACAAATTTAAGGTAAATGGAACTTTAAGACAAGTAATACCACTTTAAGAGAGGTAATTACTCCAGCTAAAGACCAAGAAATCATAATCAAAGAAATGTATTCTAATAATCAGTAAATGAAGAAATAATCATTCAAAATAAGCAATTTGAAGTAATAACTGTAAATTTAATCAACAACAGTTTGATAGAGCAGAGATATAATCTACAATGAAAACAGGCCAAACCAATAGCCATGCTACCATGCTATAAAATATAAGTGCAAAGAAAACAGAGAAAATCCAACGAAACAAGACGACTGAACATTCAAACAGCTTAGCTCAAACGAAACAAATAAGCCTCTAAACAACAAAACAAGACATATAAGGCCCAACGTAATGCGAAACAGTTCAGTTGACATGAAACATCCCAAAATGCAGAAAACCAACAAAGGAGCAAAGGACAGTCCAAAAGCTCACGAATCAAAGCAGAAAAAACACAAAACGAGATACGCCGCTAATTGAATCAACATCTTCAAAACTCACGTTTATGGATGCAAACTACCTAAGGCCATCGAATAAGATGATGAAAGACCAGCGAAAGAAGACAACTCAATGCCGACAACACAATATACTTAAAGACAAGAATCAGTCCTGCGAGAAAACAGCGAACTATAGAAGAGGAAGAAGCAACCAGCGCATGCAGAAGGAGAGAGAGCCAAGAGCAAAAACCTGTTTAAAATTATCTGTGCTTTATATACAATGTTCATGTTAATTATTATTCAAGAATATGTTAACGTAATGTCTCACATGGTGCACTCTGAAAGATTAAATGTACAATGGCACGAGTACAATTGTTTTGTATACAGGGTGTATTAAAAAAATTCGAATTTAAATTTGGTGTTGAATAACGAAGAATACAATTGGAAAGTCGTTTGTTTTTTGCACCTTTGTTAGGTCATTTACTTATTGCCTTTTGAATAAAATGTTGTACGCATCTTTCGGTGTCTAAATGAAGAGGTATTTTTTTGACAAACAAAATTAATAAAAATCAGAATTTGCCGCCAGAGGTAAGTAAATTTATTTTCAAATTTACTCCCATATGGCAAAAGGCACATTTCCTGTGAAATTGTTTTTGGAAAGCGGTAGCGTAAAAAAATACTCCATTAGCTCGAACCAGGATTTCATCTATAAAATGATTGAATATTGAACAATTTGCGTTTATATTGATTGTCATGATGGGGATGTACTAAATACTCCACCACGACCAAAGTCACTACCGCGGTAAATAAACAACAAATATTGTTTAACTCAAAATGTTTACTTTAAAGAAAATCTCTGAGTAGACAGTAGGCAAAAGGATATCATTAACACTTTGTACTTTGTCAGGCTTGCAGTGTTGAGGGTTTTAACCATTCGTTGCAGCAGAATATTTATTATTTAAAAATGGTTTATATATATTTAATGTCAAAGTTTTTATTTTTATTCAGGTTCCGATAGAAAATATATATTAAGAAAATGGCGGCAATTTTAAAGCCTATAGGAATATTTAAATTCCTGTAGGAAATCCTATAGGAAGACAAAGTCAATTCATTTGACTCATTGACTCAAATGTAATAAACTCTGGAGTAGACGATACTTTAGAAACTGGTTGGACCAAAGTGGCCTGTGCTGCGAGCAGTTCAAAAGACTCGGCTAATACTTTGAGGAATATAAGCTCATTTTGTGACTGAGAAACGCTTGGATTACGTCTTCACAACGCAACTCTTGAAGAAAATTGCTTGAAGGATGGACAGTTGTGTCTTGTTTGTGGTGCTGATTTGGCTACACTTCATTGTACTTATTGTGGACCACGACAAATCTTTTGCTCAAAATGTGCAAATGAACTCTATGAAAATTTCATGTGATGGAAAAGTGGAGAGTATGTTTACGTATTTTGAAAAACTGCTAACTAGTAGATTTAAAATTTGTATGCCAATTCCAAAATGCTTTCATACTTGTTGAAACGCTATGACAAATGTTAACATCTGCTCATTGCACAAGATATCATGACAACGTAAAAATTCGATTTTGTTTTCTAATTTATTCCAACCGTATCTTTTCACACTTGCTGAAGGATCTTTTTATATAAACATATGTGATTGGAATAAACCCCCCTAAACAGACCACAGCAGTTACCAGCACCTTACAAACGAATTATTCACAATACAAACAAACGATCAACTAAAAACATTACACTTCACACTAATTGACAATGACAATACACAATTGACACCCCAATATTACAACTAAAAATATCAGACCTAAATCACACATCACAACTAAAAACCTTTCACTTCACACAAATTCACAATGACAATACACAATTGACATCCACACATTTCCTGTACACACAATACAACGACGTAAGAACCAGATAACAAATACGGCTAACCTGACGTTTACTCCTCATTTGACTCTGAAGATGACTACCGCTAAGTTTGTCGAAACGTCCGTCAACAACAACAAAAACAATCCTTCTCAGGACTATACCAACCTGGACGAATTTCTTTAAGGTAATCAGCATGTAAAAAGGGTTGCAGTTTGCAATTTTGAAGGATATGCTAAAACATTATTTCTTGGCAATTTTTGACGTAGTACATTGGAGAAACCCACTGTTGGATTCCATTTTAAATTAATCGATTTGGCTGTTGTATTATTCATGTATAATCAAGTTCCTCTGAAAGATTATTTCTAAAATTTTATTAGAAATTGTGCCAAAGTTGCAGCCAATTATTGTAAGTAGACATTACCCAAATTGTTTTTATTTACAAAATCAATTGTTTTATGATGCATTACACAAAGTATCTGAAAATTAGCCAGACAAATTTACATCTGTCTGGAACAAATTTTTATTCCATTTCCATTACGATTTATCAGCGGTTGGCACTAAGTAATTGAATTCTGAAACATGATGACTTTTTAAACTTAGCAGGGGCAAGCATCCAAAAATATGAATTTTACTTAGTTATATGACGATAAAATAAGTCACGTGACGTACTACATAACATAAACAAAGATAGCTGCGAAATAAAATTTTGCTGTATGCTTTTCTTTGACAAACTTATTCTTAAAAGAAGACATTTTCTCAGTGTTTTGTTGCTTCGTTGTTGAAAATGATCATGAGTTACGCACACGTCAAACTTTTTATGATTGTACGTAAAATTTGTTATATTTCTTAAAACCTATGTTTTTTGGAATATATCATGGAATGTTTTCTCTAAATCTCCAACCATCGACCAAAACGAACCAAAAATTTGGATAAGATTATACCCCATCAAGGCTCACAAGGCACAAAAATTATCTACTACTGTCTTAAAAAACTTCGTAAAACCTCAACAAACCAGTTTAACTTATTCTTATTTTTGACACAAAAAATGTCGCTTTTTCAGTTCCAACAAAGACAAAATCTCACCATTGTTTTGTTTTAATGTCGTATACCATGTTACTTGCCCCGTTGTAACAAATCTTACATTGCTAAAACTGAGAGATGCCTTAAAACCCGACTTCGTAAACATGCCACACAACATAAAACAAGCGTTGTTGTACAGGAGCCTAAAAGTACAGGACATTACATATTACAACAAGAACACACATATGAAACACTTTTGGAAAAACGTAATTCAAACATTAAATAACTTGTATTTAAGAACTACAAAATACTTTGCTCGATTACTATCTTAAACAGAAACTGACTTTTACTAGTATAAGTAGTAAAAATTAATTCATTTTTTTAATGTGATACACAGCTAAAGAAGATATGACTCTGTTAAATTACAAAAAACAACATCCAAGAGACGTGTACGGGAAAAGTTTTGGCAAAATATGGAGAGCGAAAATGTAATGCATTGAAGATTATTTCTTAAAAGGGGATCAGCTCTTTGATATCATTTGTCTGATCTTAATTTTTCTAGATTGTTGAGAGAAGATCATGGCGAAGCCTTAGAAACAGATTTAATAATTAAAAAAAAAAAAAGTAAGTAAGTCAATTGATAAACACATGTTTCCTTTCACTTGAGTAAATGTCAAAAGAGATATAATAATTACTGTTGATGCTTATGTTTGATTTTGATATCAAGAAACACACATTTAGGCTTGCTTTTTTGTCCATTTCTTGATTACAGAAAACACGAATGAAGAAAATAGGCCGTCTCCTCAATTGCGAAAAGGAATGCGGAAAGAGCCATCATGTAAGTTTTTTATGATTTTAAGAGGACGATTGCATGGATCAATTTCAGCTCCAGTTTTCGCTTTCTTCAAACGACGCTTTCGCGTTCTGTCTTGTTTTGTCATCTCTGTTTGAGCTTTTATTTCAGTTTTCTGTTTGTCATAAATTTCTTCTGGAGCGAGTAGTGCCGCCTCAGTCACGTTTACCGGTGTGCACTCCTCCACATTGATTGACGGCACGTTGGATACGATCGTCACTTCACACTTTAACTGAAGATTGAAAATAATCATGGTTTACCAAAAAAGTACATTACAAACGTTTCACGTTGAATTGAATCATGCAAATAAAATGCATGAAAATACTCGCAAGGAAGCATGTAATATATGTAATACATGTAAAAATACATGGAAAATGCATGTAAGAACATAGAGATTATAAATAAGACTAGAGGTGGTATTGATGACGTTTTTAGGCGACGCGTGAATTAGGGGGGAAAATTTATGTCCCCGATTAAAACACGAAGTAAACAAATGATGTTTTTTCCGTTTGCTTCGAGTTTTGGATTCTTTCTTAATGTATTTAGTAAGTTTTTTGCTCTTTAGTTCGAGCATCAAGAAAATTTGTCATTTTAAAGCGTAAGTAATTGTTTTTAGCGAGCTGTTATTTGATTATATGTTGTTTGTAATCTCCGTATACTTTGTATGCTTCAATCAACTATACGCAATGAGAACGTATGACATTCTTTTCTGTTTTCCTGTTTTTACAATTCACATTTTCACATACCAATGCGTACCATATCTTTAACTATAGATTATAGTACGATGCCACCTCTAGTACTATTTATAATCTCTATGTGTAAGAATACATGTAAAAATACATGGAACAATGCATGTAAGAAGACATCACAACATGCATCCAATGCATCACAACATCTTAAACCTTAAGATGTTGTGATGTTTATTTTTACATAATTGCAACAAATGACTCCCTAGTAGAATCGAAAAAATAAAGTTGACTGGGTCTTAATAATTTGGATTAACTTAACATGGGAGTCATTGCAAACATGTTGCACCTTTTTGTAATATCTTGAAATTAGTCAGGCTTTAAATTGCTAAATTTTCTCCTGACCCCAGAAACTTGTTGTGCTCGTTAAACAAAATCTTCACATCGTGTGAGCATTTGATAAAACTAACTCATATTTTAAAATTGCCAAACAAACGTTCAATCGAAATAGTTTTGTTTTTTAAAAAACGTAAGTTTTTCTGGCATTTTGAGTTCATAACTACCTATTGGCATTGCAAAATTTAAATAAGCTTTGTGTTTTTGTGATTGGACGTGGTGATTGTTGTAAACATGTAGTTGTCTTGTTAGACTTCCAATATTAATCTGAAAGTAAAACATTAAAGTAAATAATGTAATACCGAAAACCACTTTTGAAATAACTTGCACACGAAAATAACACAGTGAAAAAGCAATTAAAATAAGTTAAATCATGGAATATGTTATTCAAATTAACAAACTTTTAGAAAAATTAGCTAATGCTTACGCAAACCCTCAGCTTTCAAATCGTGGGTAAATTTAGATTTTTTATTGTTGTATTGGAATTTAGTTGCAATCCTCATCAATTATGCATAGATGTTGGCTTAAATTCACCCAAATATAAATAATTGAGGAAGGTTATTACAAATCTTCTATAACAAATAAAACTGTCTAATAACGATCTGTGCTGCAACATCTTTTCATTAAGAAAATTGTCAAAAATCTAAAATACAGCGACTTTCTAAAAGGAAAGAACGGAATGAGGAAGAACTTCTTTGAAGGACCACACGTGGTTTCACTTTGATTTGCGTGATTTATGATAAATTATTTATGATCCTGTGGTCACTTGAATAAAAAAAAAACGAAATTGAACTGTGTATTATGACGAGAAAATTTATTTGCCTAGTTGTTTGAATTATTTGTTTTTGTCTTTATCATAGCTTGAATCAACTTTGAAAGGTCTTTCTTTACAAACTTTTTTTCGATTGTGTTTATCTAATTTCAAATATCTATAAAGAAAATTCTCCATAATGAAACAAATACACCAATAATGAAAAATCTTTTCAATTTTCATTGCATGAACAATATCGTGATGTGTGAGTTACGTCATGGCCGCCATGTTGGATGATTTTTTCAACAGTTTTATTTGCAAAAGATTTAAGAATACATGCAAAAATACATGGAACAATGCATGTAAGAAGACAAGCTGCAGAATACATGTAAGAATACATGTAAAAATACATGGAATAATGCATGTAAGAAGACAAGCTGCAGAATACATGTAAGAATACATGTAAAAATACATGGAATAATGCATGTAAGAAGACAAGCTGCAGAATACATGTGAAGAATACATGTAAAAATACATGGAATAATGCATGTAAGAAGACAAGCTACAGAATACATGTAAGAAGACATGCAAAAATACATGGAACAATGCATGTAAGAAGACAAGCTGCAGAATACATATAAGAATAATGTAAAAATACACGTAAGAATACATGTAAGAATACATTTAAAAATACATGGAACAATGCATGTAAGAAGAAAAGCAGCAGAATACACGTAAGAATACATGTACTTAAAGTGTTTAAGCCTCACCGGTTTGGGTGTAAAATGAAAGTTGGTTAGAGCATCCAATTTCGAAAAGAGAGATTTCATCAATTTCTTAATTTCAACATGTTCTTTGTTTTCCTTTTCTTCCTCTGGATTCTAAGAAAATACATGTCAAATCTTCCAAAAAACTTTATGAAAAACTTCAAGATTCACATGACAAAATCTATGAAAAATTGCTCGTTTCTTAAGTCAAAACATACCTGTTGTTGTTGATATTCTCTCTCATATATTTCACTCAGACTCATTTTACTTTTCTCTTGACTTATCGGTTGAGCTTTCTTGTATTCATAAGCTTTCTTTACTGGCTTTTCTTTTCGCTCCACGTCATCCCATGCCTATAGAAGAGACCACGTATGATAGCATGTGATACCGAGAGAATAAAAGGACCCATGCACGATGGCGCTTTTAAACCAAGATAACATTACCCACGAAGGATAGTATGAGACATACGAGTAAGAATGACTGATGCAGGAGATGTCATTGAGGATCGCATGACCTATGCAAGATAGCGTGACAAAGCCTGGTCTTCACTAGCGACATAAGGAAAAGCATGCATAAGAATAAGCATATATAAGCACTAGATGAACGGAGAGTTTTAATAATCTTGTACTTAAGCTTATGTCGCCAATGAATACCAGGCTTAAAGCAAGATAGCGTGACCCAAATGAAAAGCGTGATCAATGCCGAATAGCGTGAACAATGCAAAAAAGCGTGACCAATGCAGGATGGCGTGACCAATGCACGTTAGTGTGACTAAAGCACGTTAGCGTCACCAATGCACGTTAGCGTCACCAATGCACGTTAGCGTCACCAATGCATGTTAGCGTCACCAATGCACGTTAGCGTCACCAATGCATATTAGCGTCACCAATGCACGTTAGCGTCACCAATGCACGTTAGCGTCACCAATGCACGTTAGCGTCACCAATGCAGGATAGCGTCACCAATGCACGTTAGCGTCACCAACGTTAGCGCCACCAATGCACGTTAGCGTCACCAATGCACGTTAGAGTCACCAATGCACGTTAGCGTCACCAATGCACGTTAGCGTCACCAATGCAGGATAGTGTGACCAATGCAGGATAGCGTAACCAATGCAGGATAGCGTGACCTAGACAAGATAGCGTGAACAATGCAGGATAATGTGACCAATGCAGGATAGCGTGACCAAAGTAGGGTAGCGTGACCAATGAAGGATAGTGTGACCAAAGTAGGGTAGCGTGACCAATGAAGGATAGTGTCATAAAAGCGGGGAAGCGTGACAATGCAGTGTAGCGTGACAAATACAGGAAAGCGTGACCTAGGAGGTTAGCGTGACCAATACAGGATAACGTGAATAACACTGGAAAGTGTGACCCAGACGGAATAACGTAATGCGGAATAGCGTCATTCAGTAACGGAGAGTTTCGTGATCATCAAATACCTCCTGGATATACCAAAAGATAATCATCAAAAAATTCCTTGAACAACTTACGTTATCTTTAATTCTCTGAGTAATAATATCTACTAAATTTTTGCTTCTCTCCTCTGTTATAACAGGAGCTATATAATGAAAATACACTTTAAGTAAGCACTTTTAAAATGGCACAAGATACACACTAGTCAGTATCGTACGCTACAGAGGCTTGCTTACGTACGTACATATCAATTTAACAAGTTGATTCAAAATTAAAAAAAAAACAAAGGGAAAAAGAGAGAAGAGGTAAGACTTTGTGTTGCAAAATTTATATTTGCAAGCCGAATTTGAAATAGCTTTTTAAAAACACAGGCATCATTAAATGGTCAAGAAAGCTGTGATTCTATAACTCTATAGAAACACGCAGAAGTCTCGCAGGTTTGCACATTTACATATTTACATAAGTAATATGTAAATAAAATCAACAAATTTATTTTTCTAATATTGCTTTTAAAAGTCTATTTTATAAACGAAATAGAAAACTTATTTACTTGTTCCTTTTGAGTTATAGAAACAATAGTGAAAGTTTGGGAGAATATCAGAATTGCTCATAAACACACTTTTAGTTACTCCTAAGCTTTCTATGTGTTACTGAAACTCAAAAGAAACACGAAAATGTTTCCATTCTTAAGCCTGAAACACCTAAGCAATCGCTTCAGTCGCGCGCCGAAAGCGAATTAATCCGCACGCGTCGGTCGGTTGAACGCCGGAAACACACATGTGAGCGAGCATCGCATCTATTGAACATGGCAGAGATTTCTGTTTGTTACAAACACAGACATCACTTAAATATTTTATTTTGGCGTTTATTATAGCTACTAATACATGAATATTTACTCAGTACAAACTACTATGTGGACAAAAGAGAACAAGCCAGTTAAAACACGCCAATATGATCATAGCCCATTACATGTATATCGTGGACAATCTTATTCTGTGCATTGAGGTTAATAAGTTTCAGTTTGTAGCTCCTATCGTCCCTATTTGATAAGTCATATAAAAATTAAATGATTCCAGTGTAAATTCACCTACTTTGTCCTCCACTTACATAAAAATGGTAGCATAATGCTTTATTCAACAACTAGAAACAATAACGACCTTATCCAACAGCATTTGAAAAATTAACCATCCACACAGGGATAAAGCATTATGCTACCATTTTTTTTTTCTTTAATACGTAACATTTCAACTATTTAACCTTATAATTATACTCATTCATGTCGGCAAGCGGGATGCTAGTGACAATGTATGTTTAACATCTATATTAGATTCATTCTTTTCAAGTGAAAAGCGGGATGCTTTCACTGAAGGGTAATGATGTATTGTCTAACATTAACACCAGATTATGTTACTGTATATTTAATATGGAATTCCAGCTAAGTCCATATGAACTGTTTAACATGCTTCCAAACAAAAATGAACAGGAATATTCAGTTGATTAATATATAATAAACCTTTCACCTTTTAACTCTGCTATACCAGTCACAAGCCCGGGACTTCTAGCGTAAGGCTCTCTGCTTTTGAGCAGACTTGTCTCGTTTACAAGGAAGAGGAGTGGAAGGTTAATTTTTCAAATGCTGCCGGATAAGGTCGTTATTGTTTGTAGTTGTTGGATAAAGCATTATGCTACAATCTTTTTTGTTTAATAACACTCCAACTATTTAACCTTATAATCAACATGTTGAATTTTCAAAGCGACTAGCTGACGCGACTACGCTACCAGCTTAGTAACCACGCAGAGCGGTAGTTTTAGATGGCCGACTAAAGCGACTGCCTAGTGTGTTTTAGCCTTTAAATAGCAAAGAGGGCAACATGAAAAATTTCAGATATTTAGTTTCCATAGATCTATTGTTCACTAACCAGGAGCTGTAGTGTGATCAAACTGCAACACTTCCTCCAGCAGACTATTTTGTGGTCGTACAGATGCTGATGTCTCTCCTGATAGTTGCCAACTTTTTGCCGCAATATTACTTTGTTCCAATGCGGCAATCTGCTTCTTCAAATTAACAACACAGATGTTTCAACAAAGTAACTAATAAATCTCCATAAAATTTCTTTGCATCTTCAAGCAGTGATCTAAGATGGTTTTGTAGGGGGGTGGGGGTGGGGGAGGTGGACTAGTTTGCATTAGATTTTGGTAGCTATAGTAACTCTAACCACATCACGTGGGATTTTAAATTCTATTTTAATATGATTGAGAAATATTCGGAAGTGCGCTCCACTAAACACTAATCCCAATTGCCATAGCAGTAGGCATATTTAACAAATATTGGATGAGGTTGAGCATGACTATTCAGACCTAGGTCAAAGCAAAGCTGATGCAGATAACGATGATCAAGCTCCAAATAGTTTTGATAACATGCCAAAACCAAATTCAATAAAAGTTTTATCATACAATTATAATTGAAGAAGCTTTCTTACTACTTTGTAAGAGATTCATAAATTTTCAGTAACGGAGAGTTTCGTGATCATCAAATACCTCCTGGATATACCAAAAGATAATCATCAAAAAATTCCTTGAACAACTTACGTTATCTTTAATTTTCTGAGTAATAATATCTACTAAATTTTTGCTTCTGTCTTCTGTTATAACAGGAGCTATATAATGACAATAAACTTCAAATAAGCACTTTTAAAATGGCACAAGATGCACACTAGTCAGTATCGTACGCTACAGAGGCCTGGTTACGTACGTACATTTCAATTTAACAAGTTCATTCAAAATTAAAAAAAAACAAAACGGAAAAGATAGAAGAGGCAAGACTTTGTGTTGAAAAAATATTTATAATTGCGAGACGAATTCGAAATAGCTTTTTAAAAACACAGGCCTCATTAAATGGTAAAGAAACCCGTGTTTCTATAGATTTATAGAAGTCTCGCAGGTTTGCACATTTACAAATTTACATACGTAATAAGTAAATAAAATCAACAAATTTATTTTTCTAATATTGCCTATAAAAGGCTATTTTATAAACGAAATAGAAAACTTATTTACTTGTTCCTATTGAGTTATAGAAACAATAGTGAAAGTTCGGGAGAATATCAAAATTGCTCATAAACACACTTTTAGTTTCTCTTAAACTTTCTATGTGTTACTGAAACTCAAAAGAAACACGGAAATGTTTCCATTTTTAAGCCTGAAACACTTTAAGCAATCGCTTCAGTCGCGCGTCCAAAGCGAAGTGATGTGCACGCGTCGGTCGGTTGAACGCCGGAAACACACATGTGAGCGAGCATCGCGACTATCGCGACTTTAACGAGGCGTATATTGAACATGGCAGAGATTTCTGTTTGTTACAGACACAGACATCACTTAAATATTTTATTTTGGCCATTATTATATCTACTAATACATGAATATTTACTCAGTACAAACTACTATGTTGACAAAAGAGAACAAGCCAGTTAAAACATGCCAATATGATCATAGCCCATTACATGTATATCGTGGACAATCTTATTCTATGCATTGAGGTTAATAAGTTTCAGTTCGTAGCTCCTATCGTCCCTATTTAATAAGTCATATAAAAATTAAATGATTCCAGTGTAAATTCACCTACTTTGTCCTCCACCTACATAAAAATGGTAGCATAATGCTTTATTCAACAACTAGAAACAATAACGACCTTATCCAACAGCATTTGAAAAATTAACCTTCCCCTAATAGATAAAGCATTATGCTACCATTTTTTTTGTTTAATACGTAACATTCCAACTATTTAACCTTATATATATACTTATTCATGTCGGCAAGCGGGATGCTAGTGACAATGTATGTTTAACATCTATATTAGATTCATTTTTTTCCAATTAAAAGCGGGATGCTTTCACTGAGGGGCAATGATGTATTGTCTAACATTAACACCGGATTATGTTACTGTATATTTAATATGGAATTCGAGCTTAGTCCATATGAACTGTTTAACATGCTTCCAAACAAAAATGAACAGGAATATTCAGTTGATTAATCTATAATAAACCTTTCACCTTTTAACTCTGCTATACCAGTCACAAGCCCGGGACTTCTAGCGTAAGGCTCTCTGATTTTGAGCAGACTTATCTCGTTTACAAGGAAGAGGAGTGGAAGGTTAATTTTTCAAATGCTGCCGGATAAGGTCGTTATTGTTTGTAGTTGTTGGATAAAGCATTATGCTACAATCTTTTTTGTTTAATAACACTCCAACTATTTAACCTTATAATCAACATGTTGAATTTTCAAAGCGACTAGCTGACGCGACTATGCTACCAGCTTACTAACCACGCAGAGCGGTAGTTTTAGATGGGCGACTAAAGCGACTGCCAAGTGTGTTTCAGCCTTTAAATAGCAAAGAGGGCAACATGAAAATTTCAGATATTTAGTTTCCATAGATCTATTATTCACTAACCAGGAGCTGTAGTGTGATCAAACTGCAACACTTCCTCCAGCAGACTATTTTGTGGTCGTACAGATGCTGATGTCTCTCCTGATAGTTGCCAACTTTTGTCATAATATTACTTTGTTCCAATGCCGCAATCTGCTTCTTCAAATTAACAACACCATTGCAGCAATGTTTCAACAAAGTAACTAATAAATCTCCATAAAATTTCTTTGCATCTTCAAGCAGTGATCTAAGATGGTTTTGTAGGGGTGGGGGTGGTGGAGGTGGACTAGTTTGCATTAGATTTTGGTAGCTACAGTAACTCTAACCACATCACGTGGGATTTTAAATTCTATTTTAATATGATTGAGAAATATTCGAAGTGCGCCACTAAACACTAATCCCAATTGCCATGGCAGTAGGCATATTTAACAAATATTGGATGAGGTTGAGCATGACTATTCAGACCTAGGTCAAAGCAAAGCTGATGCAGATAACGATGATCAAGCTCCAAATAGTTTTGATAACATGCCAAAACCAAATTCAATAAAAGTTTTATCATACAATTATAATTGAAGAAGCTTTCTTACTATTTTGTAAGAGAGTCATAAATTTTCCGTAAATACTCAATGAAAACTCCATAAGTACAGGAAAAGTATATTGCAAAATTGACTGAAATAATTTCCTCAGATGCAGTCCTGGGTTTCAGTCCTGCAGTGTTTGCTACTTTTTTCCAAAAACTGTATTTGCGCCATTATAACTTTGTAAATCTGCATTTTACTCAAAAAAATTTACAAATTCTCAAACAACTATTTGAGATCTATCAGAATCAATAGAAACAAAAAATGAGGTCATATGCATTTTATATATACAATATATACAATGATTTACATAAAGTTTTACCTTTTTCTGTTGTTCAATGGCATTGCTGAAAGAAATCGTGATTAAAAATTAGATTTAATATTGGTCATAAAAAGTACACTGACTGTATAAAAAAGACCAAGTCATGGTAAAAAAGAGTAAGTCATGGTAAAAAATTTGAATTGTCAAGTTTTTGACAATAACTATAGTTCTCAAGTTCTTGCACATAGCTATACCTGCTCTAAAGAAAACTAAAAACTTGCCACTTTTATGATAAGATTGCAAGAATCACATCACAATGATGTAATACAAAACAATGTTCTTTTCACAGGTTTCAGCCCTTCAAAAAGTTAGCTCAATCAATACATATGAACTCAAGTAAAGCAACAGCAATGAGCCCAATTTCTTAAAATTCAAAAATTTAACAAGAGTGCAATGTGTGCAGGTAGACATCTAACTATTTTCAGAATTAACATCGTAATAAATGATTGTGAAAAGGTAATGAAGTTCAGTCGCTAACATTTTCGGTTTTTCTCACCTCAAAAATAGAGTTTCTGCTTTATTTGCAAAAGTTTCAGCTTCTACACTCAACTTTTGTAACAGGAACTCATTTTGAAGCTGTATTTGCTGCCATATTACTTCTACATCGAAATTCGTATCATCAAGTTGTAGTCTCTCGAAAGGACATCCTTTGATACTTCGCCCACAAGCAGCTTCCTCCTTTTTAGTGAGGTAGTACATTTCACGTAGGCCAGAAAGAATTTCCGAACTTTGATTTTCATCGTGAGTTATAAAGTGTTCGACATTTTTCTCCACGTTTTTAATCAACAAATTAAAAGAACGAAGACTTCCTTCTTCGACCTCCATCTTTTTTTCCACGTGCTGTCGTTTTCCACGCGCGAAGAATGCACATGCACGTGACCAACGCATTTGATCTCCGCTTGGATTCTAACACTGATCTGATAGTAGACTGGATATAGCTTCTACAGGTAGCAAAAGTAAAGCCTAATTATATATGCAAAATTCACTTCCGGTTATCACGGCGAGATACAAATTACTATAGAAATGTATGGCGGATAACGTTTACAAACATGGATTTTCGAATATTTAAGACCTTTCGCGACTCCTTACTAACCTCAAGTATTAGTCATGGATAAAACAGGTTATGCGAATCGATTTGACATCAAAATGATTCCTATAGCTGTAAAATATCGACGTTAGTGGTGATTTAAAAGTTGTACATGCGAGAATGTATTTTGTCCCATCGTTGCCAATGCAAGATAGTTCACTGCTCGCTTTCCAATTTCTGAGGCAGTTATGATCTAGTATACGTTTCAGTTCTTTAGAAATGAGGTGAGTCACTTTTTTTATCATTCTTTCTTTATGTTGAGAGATTGTTGACATTTTATTTTTGCTGTAACTTCATTTTTTCATGAGCAAAGTACTACTGATGCTTAAACAAGACAAGTCTATTTAGTTTCTTTCGCACTTTATCTTTAGTTTCCATTTCTGTGGTTGTTTTTCCCAAATGGTATAGTCGCACCTTGCTGTAGCATTTAGATATGGTCTTAATTAATGAGTAAATATGATTTTCATGAACAGTAGTATCCAACATGTGTGCATCGAGATCCTTGAATGTGGTCCTCAAATCTATACCATTTACTACAGACAAAGCAATAGCATCAGGAATTCCTTTCCCTTGCGGTAAATTTCCATCTGTAGCTGCCAACATTCTCTGAAAGCACCTCTCTGTTTCATTGCATCTTTCTATTACACTTGCTGTTGGCTTAAACAAATTACCCCTGTCTTTTAAAGTCAGGAAAGCAGACTCATTTTTGTAGTTTCTTGAACCGACTGCTTCATGACAAACAGGACAGTTTATTTTCTTTTGCACCATCTGGGCAACATAGCCAGCCATGTCGATATTGCCGCCTTTTTAAATACAGTGGAAAAGCTTGGTGCATCACTATAATCTTCATCCTCATCTCTGTTGTGATTTGTCCCTTGTAAATCATACTTTCAGATGAGAGCAGCATCATCAATTGTCATGCTGATTCTTTGTTTGGCATTTTTAAATTCCCCATTACTTCCAATATGTTAGTTTCATCTTGTCTGGTGCAGTTGCCATTGCAACCATGGATACTGCTTCTCATCAAAAGTCTCTTGTATGCAGCCAGAATTGTTCAGCTGTTGGGTTGTTGTTAAAGCCTCCCGAGGACTGAATTGCTCCAAAGAAAAGCTCTAAATGATCTTGGCTAAATTTATAAGTCAAAATATATTTCATTGGTGCATCTTCCTTTTCAACCAACTCAACAAAAATTTGCTTTATGCTATCAATTGCCACAAGAAACCCAACAAAATCAGTTTTGCGATGGGTTGTGTACATTAGATCACCTGATGCATTTTTCAGACCCATAATGTATTCACGGGCTTCATCAAGAAAGGGTTCCCAACTATCCTTGTTACTTTTTCGAAGAGCTGCTACAGAAATGGAAACTAAAGATAAAGTGCGAAAGAAACTAAATAGACTTGTCTTGTTTAAGCATCAGTAGTACTTTGCTCATGAAAAAATGAAGTTACAGCAAAAATAAAATGTCAACAATCTCTCAACATAAAGAAAGAATGATAAAAAAAGTAACTCACCTCATTTCTAAAGAACTGAAACGTATACTAGATCATAAATGCCTCAGAAATTGGAAAGCGAGCAGTGAACTATCTTGCATTGGCAACGATGGGACAAAATACATTCTCGCATGTACAACTTTTAAATCAACACTAACGTCGATATTTTACAGCTATAGGAATCATTTTGATGTCAAATCGATTCGCATAACCTGTTTTATCCATGACTAATATTTGAGGTTAGTAATGAGTCGCGAAAGGTCTTAAATATTCGAAAATCCATGTTTGTAAACGTTATCCGCCACACATTTCTTTAGTAATTTGTATCTCGCCGTGGTACCCGGAAGTGCATTTTGCATATATAATTAGGCTTCACTTTTGATACCTATAGAAGCTATATCCAGTCTATTATCAGATCAGTGATGGCAATGGCAAATTGGGCATTACATTAATTGTAACCTTTTGCTGTAGTGTTATAGACTTATAGTAGTACAAAATAGTGTTCTTATCATAAAATGTTGGTTCAATCTCGATTGTGATTTGCTAAGAACCTTTACAGATGGCTTTCTATGTTTTCAAGAAATTTTTAATGTGACACAAAACTTAAAAGTATTAAAATAATATGGTGGAATCTTGCTCAAGATTTCCAAGCGTTTAAAAGTGTTTTGTTCGAATTATTGGGCATACCGACACAAACAAAAACAACAACAAGGAAACGGCTATACTCTCGAACAGGAAGATATCATCAAGTATTTACGGGAGAATAAAGAAAGCAAACCGTTAAGAGTTGATAATGTATTCAAAGAGCAGCAATCATAATAACTGCTAAAATATCATTTTTAATAAAGCATTGCATTTAAAAATTTATTGGGTTTCAACGTTCGTTAACTGTAGGCTCTTCTTAACATGCTTCACATTTCTCCAGTGCTGTAGTAGTTGGGGGGCGCTTGGGGTAGGAGCCCCTACTTTGAAATGGGTAATTTTTCATAATTTCATAGCTTCAGCTTCATCAAGAGAGCCCCCATATGATAAATTTGTTCTACAGCACTGCATTTCTCATAAGTGGTGCGCAATCCCTACTCAGGGAGTGAAGGAACATGCAGAAACACGTAAGCATGTATGATTGGCATTATTAGTCGTAGTTTCTCAGATCGCAAATTCTTGAGCTGAGCCTGGGGCTTAGGCCAGAATTGAAATGGGAAAAAACCGTATTAATTGTAAATAAAACCCAAAATTATATGCTAGTGTAAATGATGGAGAGTGATAAAATAAAATTGTGATAAAATCTTACAGCAAACAAATGATATCTATGAAACATGCAATAGAAATCAGAATGGAACGTACGAAGTTGCTCTTTGATTTTGCCACAGAGGATATTGGCGCACAACTGGTCGACAGAAAACTCGTCATGGTCAACAGAAAACACGTCATGGTCATCTGAAAACTCGTGAAATTATATTCTTTAGAAATTTAAAACCAATGGAGGTTTTCTGAAAGAACTTTGAATTTAAAAAACGCTGTATCAGCTTCTGTAATTCAAGTCTTGAACTGACGATTTACATCAAAAATTTTGACAAATCATTCACGTTGATGTGTTTTGCTATATTTTTTCAAAATGTTCATATTCTACAATACACATGTGTAAGAAGACAATCACAAAAACACAAAGTTTATTTAAACTTTGCAATGCCAATAGATAGTCATGAACTCAAAATGCCTATGAAAAACTTACCTTTTTTAAAAAACAAAATTATTTGGATTGAACATTTGTTTAGCAATTTAAAGATATGAGTTAGTTTTATCAAATGCTAACACGATGTTAAGATTTTGTTTAACAAACACAAAGAGTTGCTGAGGTCTGGGGAAAATTTAGCAATTTAAAGGCTGACTAATTTCAAGATAATACAAAAAGGCACAACATGTTTGCAGTGATTCCCAAATTAAGCTAATCAAAATTATTAAGACACAGTCAGCTTTATTTTTCGATTCTACTAGGAAGTCATTTGTTGCAATTATGCAAAAGAAACATCACAACATCTTAATTTTATAGTTAGAATCTTGGCATGCCAAATCAATGTGGGAACATAAGCCCCAATGCCTGCAAGCTTTGTAAATGTATTAAATGAGGTGGTTTTAATGAAGTCATAACCATAAAGTAAGATTGTATAATGACCAATAGTATTTTAATGATAAAACTAAAACATTCGATGGAATGTTTTAAATTACGAAAATTATCAATAGGATCTTATTAGAATTCCAATAGAATTCCAATAGAATTCAAGAGGAATTATAAGATTCCTGTAGGAAATCCTATAGGAAGGCAGAGTGAATTCATTTTTATTCAGATTCCGATAGGAAATATATTAAGAAAATGGCGGCAATTTTAAAGCCTATAGGAATAATTTAATTCCTGTAGGAAATCCTATAGGAATCCTTAATGGGATTTGTTTTGCAATTCCAACTGGAATTCCTTTAAGATAATTTAAAATAGTAGCGAGAGACTTGCCGAGCGGAAATCGGATTCGTGTAATAAAACTTAATGCCCAACATAAAGATAACAGAACTTTATGTTGGGCATTAATCTTTAAGAAAATAGTGAGAACTAAAAACCTATATGAATATTAAAATTCCTATAGGAAATCCTCTGGAAATGTTAATGGAAAACCTATGTAGCAATCGAAATATATAGGAAATGTTATTTATTTTTTCTTCAAATTTACAACAATGGTAGATTCTTTAGATATCTAATGCATGAATTAAACGAAGCATTGTGGTATGGAGTTGGTGGTTGTGTATACGACAATGATAATGTCATCTCTTGAATCAAAGGCTGCTGATGTTTGAATTCTTTACCAGAATTTAAACAACAGCTTTACGAGTTGACATTGATTAAACTCCTCAAAGCAAAGCAACAAAACGATTATATGGTTTACCTAAACTTCATAAATTAAACAATATCAATGACATACCTCCTATCAGACCTATAAATTCTTCAATCAATTCGTATAACTACAAATTAGCCAAATACCTCAGCTCTTTACTCCAACCCCTAATACCTAATGATCATTCTGCTAAAGATTCTTTTGATAAAGTTTTGTTGATGATTTTTTATCTTTTAACACTAACGCTCCACGTGACAAATTCTTTATTTCTTTTGACGTTGAAAGCCTTTTTACCAACATACCACTGACTGAAACCATAGACATTGCTATTGATTTAATTTTTACCAACAACCCTACATTCAAAATGAGCAGAACAGAACTAAAACTATTTTTTAACATCACTACGGCCGAGACTCATTTTTTATTTAACGGTAAGTACTACGACCAAATTGACGGGGTAAGTATGGGCTCACCCTTGGCACCCATTCTAGCCAACATTTTCATGGGTTTTCACGAACGAAACTGGTTAAATAACTACAGCAACAACAAACCTTTATGTTACCGCAGATACGTTGACGACATTTTTTTCATTTTTCATAACAAAGACGAAGCATTACTCTTTTACGAATACATCAACAAACAACATCAAAGCATAAACTTTACGTACGAAACCGAACAAGACAATCAGTTACCCTTTCTTGACATCTTACTAACTAAATCACATGAAAACTGTATGACCTCTACGTACCATAAACCAACATATACAGGACTACTGACTAACTTTTTTAGTTTCACACCATTAAATTACAAAATTGGACTGATACGAACACTGACCGACAGAGCACGGAAACTGAACAACACTGACATCGGCTTTCAACGTGATTTAAAGAAACTAATATTCACTCTCCCACGTAATTCTTTTCCTTTTCATTTCATCAACAACACTATACAACACTAGTTGGACAATAAGAAAAGCACTGACACATCTAACTCCACAACTAACACTAACGATATACAACAACCTGACAATAAACGCTATTTCAAACTACCTTACATAGGTTACTCACGACACACACAACGCAAACTCACACAAATCATTAAACGCTACTGCACTGACATTGACGTTAAACTTATTTTCACACCTTTTAAAATAAAATCTTTATTTTCGTTTAAAGACCCACTTCCCAAACTTTCCAAATCTATGGTAGTTTATCAATTTTCATGTGCGGGATGTAATTCCCGCTATATTGGTGAAACTTCTCGCTAATTATCTACCAGGATAAAGGAACATACACACACAGACAAAAACTCCACTATCTACAAACATCTTCAAGCCTCTCCTTCATGTAAAAACAAATGCTCACCTTCCTGTTTTAAAATCATCGACACTGATCAATCCACTTTCTCACTCAAAATCAAGGAAGCTCTACACATTAATAAAACTAATCCCGATTTAAATATCCAAGTTCACCACTACAACACTATATTTACTTTATAATAATATTTTTTGTTATAAGTTCTTAATACTTATTTTTAGAACTTATGTTATAAGTTCTTAATACTTAATACTCATTGTAATTAATTTATTCATATCATATTACGTATCATATTACTTAACACTAACCATTCTGCACTGAAGATGGCATTCTGATAATGTCGAAACATGTTTGCTCTCAAAAAAATCGTCGTTTTTCTCAAGTGTTTTTTAGAAGCAACAAAACATGTCGAAATTTAGTCATTACATAATGAGTTTTCAGAACCATTACGAACAGCAACGGAATTGATTTTTGATTTCGCCACCATTGAATTAAGTTGTTTGCTTTGTCATAGTTGGTATGCGATTCCTTCAAGGATTCCTATGACAATGCAAAATCTCATCGTAAAAGAAAATTCTTATAAGAAGTGCTTTAGAAAGTTTCACAGGAATTTGTAAACTTATAGAAAAATATAATTTCAAATTGTCCAGGTTGTGGTCATACATACATAGGCAAAACTGAACGAAACCTACACACAAGACTTACCAAATTGCTATTAATTACAATAATTCTAGTGCTATCTTACTACATTTACTCATTTTTCCAGACGCCAACTACATCTCACACCTTTCTTCACTTCCTGACGTTGACTCTGACCCCGATCTCACACGCGTGCCACTCAATCCTAATCAACTTCTCATCTTAAAAGCACTTTTGATAAAACGCAAGATGCCACAACTTAATAGTGGTCTCAAAGCGTTTAAGAAATTATCTCTATTGTAATGTAAGTATACTGCCTGATTGTTTAGTCTTATAGTTCTCTAATTACATAACTGTCATTTCCGCTTGTAAATATTACATAAAATTTTCGCAGCCTGCACTGTAAACTATAAGTCTGATGATGTCTTTAGAATAAAGACGAAATAGTGCACCATCTTCTGTTTCAAACTCTTGTACTATCTTGAATATCAAGAAAACGAGATGTCCTTTTTCGGAATTTCTTTTATTCTGTTGTGAAAAGGTGACCAATTGTGACCTTAGAAACAGGTTTAATAATTATATAAAAAAAAAAGGTAAGTAAGTCAATTAATAAACACATGTGTCCTTTCATTTGCGTAAATGTCAAAAGAGATGTAATAATTACATGTGAAGAAGTTAAATATTGTTTATCAATGTTGTATATTAAGTTAATTCCCCGGTTGTAACAAATCTTACATTGGTAAAACTGAGAGATGCCTTAAACCCGACTTCATGAACATGCCACAAATCATGAAACAAGCGTTATTGTATAGCACTTCTTAGAAAGCCAATAAGCACAGGACATCACATATTACAACAGTATATATTACAGTATAACAGTATATATTACAACATAATACAACAATCTCACTAGATCATCAAATGATTTCTCTCAATCTCCAACCACCGACCAAAGCAAACCCAAATTTTAAATAACTTATCAAAGCTCACAGGACATAAAAATTATTTAGAATAAGGTTTGGGTGTAAAATGAAAGTTGGTTAGAGCATCCAATTTAGAAAAGAGAGATTTCATCAATTTCTTAATTTCAACATGTTCTTTGTTTTTCTTTTCTTCCTCTGGATTCTAAGAATATACATGTCAAATCTTCCAAAATAGCACTCATAACCTTCCTTTACTGTCTGTAAAAGTGATGGCCTTGCACGCCCACCCGAATACAATCCGATGGATATTCAATTGTCAATGTTCGCGACACAATCGTATCCGATGATGACCCGAACACTTAAAAAGAAGGAAATGAGACGATCACCAAAACGGTTTCAATGCTCCCAATGTGAAAAATTATTCGGCAAATTGTCACACCTTCGTGACCACTTTTGAACGTAAACGGGAGATTGGCCTTACAAATGTGAGCACTGTGACAAGGCTTTCACGCAGTATTCAAACTTTCGAATTCACACGGGAATCCATACGGGGTAGAAACTTTACCGCTGCACACATTGCATTAAGCATATTGAGTACCAGCAAAAGCAATATGCCAACATGGCCGAGAGCTTAGAAAAGAACTTTCCATATAATAACATTGACCAATTATAATAATTTGAACTACCGTAAAAAAAGATAGAGGTAAATTGCTAAAAGTTATTTTTATTGGAAGTTGATAATGAATGATAAAATAGCTATAAGAAAGAGTCCATTTCGAAGTCTTAGGTAAAGACTAATTTGTGTTTTACGGCTGGAGTTTAATATTATAACATTGGTCTATTTTAAAATTGGAGGTTGGTATAATTGTAGTCAATGAGGAAAACCTAGAATAGAGTCGATTTTGAAGTCTCAAGATAATAGTTGCATCCATTGTGTTTCTAACTAAGTTTAAAGGAGAAATCCATTATTCTTCGTAATCAATGTTTTCCTTAAAAAAATTAAGAAAATACACATTTTACGATATCTATTGTTTTTCAGATTCTTCCTTTGTAGCTAAATACTTCCTGCTTTTTGTATTCGCTATTTTTATGATGACCTAAACACTTAATTGCAAACATAATTTAAAACATATCCGCTGTGTTCTTTAATCTTTAACTGCCGAAATGTTCCCCTTTAAAACCACTTTAGCATTGAACTTAATGTAAATGAAATATTAATAGAGTTCACATCATATGCGGAACATTATCTTACTTACACATAGTTTTTGTTCGAATTGTAAAACCTCAAGAATTCTCATTCAACAAACGAATATATCTCTATGAAGAACTGCTTCCCATTTAAAAACATTCCACTGAAATCATTTACATATAATGAAAAAAAAAATTAATTTTAATAGTTTTAGGACGAGTGAACATCAAACATAGGTAGAGAGTAATAAATTCTGTGGATCTTTTTTTCGCTTTGACATCCATGCATCTCCTAAATCAGTTAAATTTGACAGATTCTGCACGTTGAAGACTTAATTGAGGTTGTTTCTTTTCTATCAACTGTATTATCTATAAATCTAAATTAGTAAAATAGAGACTTTGTCGTGGGGACAAATCTGAAAATCGTTTTAAAGATCGCTAATACCATAAATCGCAAATTAAAATAGGTGTTAAAAATTACTACCAACTTTTTGGGTAAAACTATACTTTATAAAATGAAAAAAAGGGGAATTTTGAAGGAGTGAACATAGAACTGATGTGTTCCATGAGCTCGTTGATTTCGATCCCCCAATATTATTCCACATATAAACTGATCGTGTATTCCACATCCTTCACCATCACTGCAACATTTTCAGTTCTATTGATGAAATCTCCATAATAGTTCTAAATTTTATTGTCACTAAGATGGCAGGAGCGAATTTTATTGCTTGGATATGTTTTGTAGTTGTATAGATTTAAGTTCAATTGTGATTTGAATTTATTTCGGCCATTTCTCTCCTGCTTTATCCTTTCATGAAATGCGTCATCACCATCTGATGTAGCAAACATGGCAGCATGTTAACGTGTAATTTTTATATTGTGGCAAAAGAACATCATCGATGTGCCTCTTGAAACTATCTCAAGGCTTATTTTGGAGATGACGTACACTCCTTCTTGGCATTATAAATATCGGTAGATGTAAATTTTCATTTAGCAGACGTTGACACCTGAGGAGTAGTCTGCAAAAATGCATCGTGTCGTTTAATTTAGAACTATTAGGTTTGTGCTCTTTACTTTAAACAATTCTTTTAAGAACTATCAACTTATTATATATTTTTTACCATTCACTATGGTATTTGCTATCTTTAGAACTATTTTCACATTTGTCACCACGATAAGCAATGACGGAAAGAATGTAAACAAAGCACATGGATCATAAAGTCAGTATTTTTATAGTTATTAGTATCAGGAATCATTTTGTGACACACATCTGCCTGGCATAATAACCAAACAACAAAAATTAACTACTCACTACAAATACGAGCTCAAACTCATTATCCAACTTGTACTTTAACGCAGGAGAGCCATGACTGAAAGAACTTTCTGCTCCACGTTCCTGTACAAAAAAAATATAATTTCAAATTCGTAATGGCAATTGCTGAAGTTAATAAACAGGTATTTTCATTATTACATACCTGAAGTATGACATTTCTGATCAATTCATTTATTGGCAAAGTAAATGACTGGCATGTACCTTGAAATCACGAAAGAACAATTCCTCCTTTTGAGAAAACGGTGAACAATTCCAACACTTTCAAAAACTCTACTTTAGTATTTTGAATGTAACGAACTATACGTTCACACTGTTTTGAATATATATTTATTTGTATAATGATTTATCGTTTGGGAAATATTCCTATTCTTTGACATAACGACATTCACTAAGCAGAAAACGAACTAACAATACAGGCAGTTATTAAAATTGAAAATAAAAACTAAGAAATAGCTAAAAATTTAAATCTCCATGATACAGAGAGAAAAAATGGTAAAATTTGATTGTTAAAATGATATCGCTTCCCTTTGTCTTTTAAAACAATAGGTTTTCTTGTTTCCTTTTAAATAAGAGTTGCCCTACTTCATTTAAGTCGCATGTTGTTGTTGCACGTGTACGGCCACACAGATCGGCTGCGAAGCAGAGACATATTTTGCGAAGAAAATAGCGAGTAATGACAAAATCGCGAGAGATGAGGCCGTGAAAAAGTTGAAAGCATGGATATTGTCACGAAGCTCTAAATCTACAGGTTCTATTTGTTTTATATGACAATTCAATCTTTTCATTCCTGTTGCTGTCATGACTTTTATAAATAAAGTCAATACGAACTACTAAGTTTTCAGTAGGTGTCCTCATTTTTTCTCTAACTACGTTTTGTTGCATGTTTTTCACTCTCTATACCATTTCCTGGTACGTTTTGCGAACATATTGAAATAAATAATTGATGTTATAGCTTGACACTGCAGACTTTTAACATAGTTAATGACTGATAATAAACAAAGTCCTGACCATCTTTCAATACGTGCTAACATTTCACTCTTCATATCCATACACATTATGTCTTGAAGTATGCAATAAAGATCTATAGTATACCTGGGTGTTTTTACAGGTCTCAATGAAAATAACTTGATGAAACTTTGGAAAGGTCTTTACTTTTGTGTATGGATGGCAGATAAACCAAATGTTCAGGTAAAGTCCCTTACTGGAAAGTTTAAGTGTGCACCCGAAATCTTGGGTGTGCAATTGTGAGAAAACCAAACTATTATGAATGCATATTTTGAATCTCGAGTGCACAGTTTAGACACTTTCCAGTCGGGGTAAAATCTAAAATGTTTTGCATTAGGTTGATTATGCCAGAAAGCCTTTGACATGTTTTTGTAATTATATGCATAAAAATTTTTAGGAAGAATTAGCAGAGGTTATTGCACAACTTCTTCACTGTTTTCAAGATGTTTCTTCAGGTATGTGTGATGTTTTTTTGTTCAAAATGAATATGAAAGTTTCTTGTTTAAACTTGTCACTATCATTGTGCCAGAATTCTAGACAATTTCTCATTATCCAATTAATTTACTAATTTAAATTTGTTCAAAAATATGTAGCTTTGGATTATCTTCTTGTGTTTTATAAAACTATTTGCCGGGAATGGCATGGAATTGACAGACTTCGCCTTGACAAGTATTACTTGGTAAGTAAAACAGTCTTAATAATAGAAGAAGTGATATTTCTCATAAAGAGTAACATACAGTACTGCTCAGAAGTAAGTTTACCGAAAATGCATTCTGAACTCATTCCAAAATGTGTTCCAATTGCATTTGGCTCAAGGTGGAACGCGTAACAAAACACGTTTTTGGCTGCATCCAATCATTGATCGGTAATCATTTATACTCGTTATACAAGTGTTCAATTTTGGAAATTTCCGCATCTCTCCCATCATTCAATTAGATCAAAAGAAACTTAGAAACACACGAGCCTACTTCAACCACAAAAATTACCATGAAGTTTATAAATAACCGTAATTAGAGTTGTAAATTATTGTTCTCTCATGATTTATAGCTCATTCGTAAATTTGTCCTTGAGACTTTGGTTTATCTCAAGAACCAGAATTGGGAAGAAAAGTATGTTATCTTATGACTTTTATTTTATGTATTATAACTCACTTGGCTTGTGTTGCAATGATTATGCAACACAATAACTCACTTGGATTGTGTTACATAATCATTGAATAATCATTAACTCGCTTGCAATGATTATATAACTCACTTGGATTGTGTTGCCATTATGCATGATTATACACATATGCTTTATGAGTATAATCATATGCCATATGCTTTATGTATATTTGTATATATTTAATAGTATCTATTTATTTATTGGAAGTAAAGCAATTTTTTTCCAAATGTAACAAAATTGCTATATTTTGAATAAACAAAATAAGTACTTGCTTTACTTTTGTAATTATATTTAGCACTTTTTTACATTCAATTAACAATTCATAAAAGAAGGAATTATGTTTCCAAATATATATGTATACTTACATACACACATATACACCTAATTTGATTATAAATTTATGTTTTTAATATAGCATTCTAACGGTAATATTGTGTTACACATTTGACTTCTGACAATTTGTGTCAATCTTTATGTTAGTCCAAATACCAAATATTTAAATATACCACATATTACAATAACATGTTTCATTTAGATCTGTAAAGTTGGTCAATGAAATGCTGACATCTGGACCATTGTCCTCTTCTCATGAGACAGCAAGTAGCAATAAATTTGACTCTATATTGCTGCTGCCTGATTGTAAAACTGTATGTGTCCTTCAATGCCGTTTCTGTGGTATTTTTATTTAGTTTTTTGTTCCTGAAGGGCTAATAATGTACCTTGAAGAACTGGGAAAGTGTAAACTGTCTCATGTATGAAATATTTTATAAAATCAACTGAATTGGTTTAACTGGTGTATACATGTATAAAATAAATTTTATGTTCAGATTGAAGGACCTGTTCTTCTTCAACTATTTCAACCATTCATTCAACTCTTAGCCAAGAGCAAACGGTATGAATATGCTACTAACTACTATAGTAAATTTTATAAATTATATAAAATACTGTGTATTGTATTTTCAATTATTGTTGTTAAAAACTACTAGGAAATTGGTTCTAACAACTTTATCCCGAGAGATATTTGATAAAATCTTCGTAAAAGATGACGAGACTGGTGAATATCTGATCAAGGTATGGCTTGCGTGTGCTTGTTATCAATTACGTATTAGTTCTTCTTTCAAAAGTTTTCTGGTGTTATGTTGCTTCATATGTATATAAATGTAATTCATCAAAAAAATTTGCCATAATTTAGATACCGTACTGCGCAGAAGTAACGCTCGCGTTCTATTTGCGTTTTGAACGCGTCTGGAACGCGTTCCAAGAAAAATTGGAGACACGTTTTGAACGCGCTCCCGATTGTTCAAAAAAAACTCCGTGTAACATGGAAATTTCCTAAATTGAACACTTGTATAACGAGTATAAATAATGATTACCGATCAATGATCGGATGTGGTCAACAACGCGTTTTCATACGCGTTCCACTTTGAGCCGAACGCAACTGGAACGCATTTTGGAAAGTGTTTCTAACTAAGTTTAAAGGAGAAATCCTCTATTCTTTGTAATCAATGTTTTCATTAAGAAAATTAAGGTAAATGCACATTTTACGATATCTATTGTTTTGTTATTGATATTTCTGTTACAATTGCCACTAAGCATTGCAAAAACAATGGTACTAAAAACGAATTTTATGCCGTTCCCGCTAAACGTTTTTAACCATACTATAATATCAGCAGAAGCAGATTTTTATGGTTATAAGTAGCATTACACTGAAGTAATACGATGTCGACATCGTGTATAGTTAAGGCTCCAGAATGGCTCCTTTTTTGGAGTTAAATTTTATCCCAAAATTTTAACTCTATTTTTGGAGTAACCGTAACTCCAAAAGTGGAGTTACAATAACTCTTTTCTTCTTTCGGAGTTGTTTTGCTATGTAGAAATTGACACCCTGTAGTTAAGACAGTTTGACAAAACACACGAAGTACAATTTTTTAAATAACAAATATAATAACTACAAGAAATACAGTTTTAAAAAAGATAAAAAAACAAGCGTAATAATTATATCTAATACGTGAATACAGCTAAATAAAATACCATCTTTCTGTAAATTTATGGCTCCTCTATTAATTATAATTTAAGTCTTAAAAGAATTTGTTTAAAACAACTCATTTCTTTGCTTTAGCTGACCTTTCCATTGGTGCAGCCTCTAAAAAAAGAAATACATTCCCAGCCGATAATAGCAGCCCACTAAAATTGCCAAAGCATGCACTGGCGAATCAAGCTATCAAGCTTTCAAATTATTTCCCCTTCTGCAGCAATGTAAGAAGGGGAGGTAGACAGTCCCTTGTTCCTCTGCTGATCAGCATTTGAGTCAAAGACTTCATTATAACATCATCAATTGATTCATCCTCCTGTATGACAAAATCAAAAAAAATTATCAAAAAAATATATGAAATACCAGCTAAGAATATCATGTTCAATAAAAAAGAGAGCAATCCAGTCGTCATTACGTACAAATAAATCTTTCACCATAATACTTACAGAGCAAATGCGAAGTATTTCTGAATGTTTTGTGGTACGTTCATTTATCAAAAGTGGAAAAAGTATTACTGCCACAGTCCCCTCATTGTCTGAATTAAAGAAAGAATTAAAAATGCTGGCTATTAATGCAGAAAAAATTACCTTCGAATCCGCCCCTACTACAAGAAGATAAAATCAACAGCGAACACAATCTAAAATCATAAATGAAATGTAAAAAATGATGTATTGTACCTGATTGTCTTTTTGGATAATCCAAAATGCTCTCTTTCATGGTATTCAGATGTGGTTTGACTAAATGCATTTGGAAGCCAACTTAAAAATTTTTTGATTTACATTGTTCTTTGACGAGTCAACCATTTTTCTGACAATACTTTGATCACCCATAACTCGACCAAACTCTGCTTTTAACTAAATAATCAGAACAAATATTAAACCAAGGAAGAAACCATAATCTAAAGTATGCATGAAATAGATTTTTTGGGCAAGTACCAAAAGTATGAAGTCAAACAGGTTTCTAATCATAAGCACAACTGTAGAAATATGACTTACTTCTGACACCAATCTTAGAGCAGCAGGATATTGTTCTATAACCTGTTCCACAGTTGAGGGCTCCATCAAGATATTTTCTCTCCTGAATAGAAATGTAATCATTCCCAGTTTTCTGTTTGTTGACTTTAACATCTTTTTTCATCAACTTGACATGCTCATTGCATGCCTCTGCTGTTTCACCAGCAGGTTTTTTAAGTACTTTACAAATATTACAAATACCTGTTTTTCTCATTTTTTTCATCTTTTTATCGTCCTCCTTATGTTATAATGGGCATCGCGTTACAGATGGGATTTTGTTTTTCCCGGATTTTGAAACAATTTTTCATAGTTTGCTCCCATGAGCTCTATTAATTTAAGTAAACAGTACTCAACCATTTCGCCATCTTTTACAATCCTATTTTCTGACCTTAAGGGGGAAATGTTATAAGAGTTGCACAATTCACAGCATACAGCATATTAATGGTTGCATAAAAAATGGAAGCAATTTTCTTATTAAAGTGATGCTGTTGGGATAAATCACATACGAAAAAAATAAGCAATGTCCCTTCCCAGCTTATCAGCCCAAAATATATAATTCTTGATAATCAAAAATGACACATGCTCTCTCTCCGATTTGGTTGGAAATAATGTATGTGCTATAATTAAAGAGCATATATCCCTGGTAAACTCATTCCTCCTAGTGCTGGGCATGATCTCAGTTCAAGAGCATTAGTTACACAAGGTGAAAACTGAAGGATAGACAAAATCATTTAGAAAACTTTCTATACATTGTTCATAGATCAACATTATGAAGTACAAGTATGAAAATTATCCTCATTATGCTAATAACACAACGAAACAGTTGGAAGACATCCATCACATTGAAGATTTTAATCAAAGTAAGGTAATTGGTTTTAGCGAAAGAGCCTATTTCAATAAACATCTTAATAAAAAAAGGAATATAAAGGCAACAACCAGCTGCATAAAAAACAGCTCATTTTTAAAGTACTGATAGAGACCAAAGAATTATGGAAATATGTTATATAAAGAATTTCCCATAGTGAAACTTGAAAATATCATTGACATTAGAAAGTAAGTACTAACCTTACTAGGCAATTCAAATTGTTGAAGTTATTTGTTATCTTTGCTGTTTGAAATATGATTACCTGGAATTGAAATAGTCGTTTCCAACCTCTTTAAAATGTTAGGTTCTTTGTCATATTCAATCGGGCTTCGGATCAGACTGCTATCAGATGAAGGACTTGATGGTCTTGATGCATAAGGTGATGATGCATCAGAAGCAGAGAATGAACGAGTTAAAGTTTGTGAGGTTTTAAGTAAAGAGGGAGATGATGAATTGATCTAGATAAAATATATTTTTTTGTATTTTTAACAGTAGATGTGCCTTGCAAAACAAGTGTAAACTCTAATTGCTAATCCTTTAACACACCATATAACTTTTAAACTCTTCAAAGCCGCATTTTTACTTGGATTTTTGAATCAATGGCAATACACTTTAATAAAATCTTAGAAATATGATACAAAACAACTCTGCAACAGATTTAGAATTTATTGAATGTTAAATACGATTTTTTACTTACCTGACAAGAATCCTGAAGTGCTTTAAGGCCACTGCAAGGTGAATGATCTGCACTCCTTTATACCACATTGCTTCGAAATGACATCACTTATTCGTTTTCGTCTTGCTGTTTTAGGTGCAATTGTCCATAAACTCAAACTCCTAAAAATGCTAAAAGCATTTCTTTATAAATGATACAGTTCTCGTGTTTTTCCTACCTAATAAAAAACACCAAATGATGAAAAAGTTACGTGCAAATATAAATTTATGTATTAACTCTTTTCAGCAAGCAAACACTGATTTTGCGGTAAGCTGCAGTATCTCATATAAGTACGTAGAGAAATATGTTATAGACAAAATACAATTGAAATCAAACATATTTCACTACAGAAAAATTTAATTTTACAATACGGTGCAATTCACTAAGCACAAACTTGCTCACTGTAACGCTTAAATAAATCATTTAAAATCCAAACTAATATACATAATGTGCATTGATATCGACAATAAGATTTAAGGTGTTTTATTAAAAATTCTGGTTTTCACGTTAAATTCTTGAATCTTTTAGTAGCCTTTCGTTTTTTTACACTGCAAATTTGTCATTGAGTTATTTATCATAGTTTTATAAAGTTACTTCACTTGATTGTATTTTTAAGTTACTGAAAGAAAATATTTGCGTTTCAGAAGTAAAAAACGGTTTGTTTCACTCTAAATCTAACTGAGTACTGTTTCTCTCAGGTTGCCCGGCCAGTGTATCCTCTTCTCCTCGTTGTTTTGCTTCTAACTTGGGTTTCCTTTGCCAAGATGTAACCATATCATATAGATAAACCTTTTTTGCCATCTTTTCTCTCTAGCTATGTCTTGCAATTTCTCTTCTTCTTTCTAGATTAGTAACTGTGAAGGTATATTGTTTGTGAACATCAAGAAACACCTTCCTGTTTTCGTCATATTGTTTTTAGCTTCCCTTGATTTCCTCCAATAATTTACCAGCATGAATGCCTTTAAAGTGTTAAATTATCAATCCGATACGAGTCTTAAACAGAACGTTGGTTGCTTCGTTCCTGTCTTTCCTATATTTGATTCCGATATTAGAGTATTTGTTTAATGTCGAACCCCGCAAAGCCTACATGTCTGAACCAACTTTCAGATCTTGTTTTCTATTCGACAATTTGCTCATTTTTCAACACTTTCGGCCAAGATTTGTAATATTGTGAGATTTCTCCCTTTTATTGCTTAGTCATGTTACTTATATACAGATCGTTACTTAATTATAATATACGTAATATGACGTACGAAATACTAATAATTTGCATAATAACTATACTACACCTCTCCCCAAACTAATTAAATATATTTTTTGTATTTTGTATCTATAAGTTCGTTTATGAAAATATTAATTGTTTCTTTTATAGCTAAATAACTTTTATCTCTAAATTAACTTTCAACTTGTCCGTATTGAATAGGGGCTTTTCTTGTACGCAAAGGATACCGCCGTTCTTTTTCCTTTATACTTTCCTCAATGGGTTCTCCTAGACTTTTCCCATTTTCTATCTTCTTGAAAAATGACGAATTACGAGTAAATAACATTCTATCTTTCTTCGCTGTTACCATTGAACCTTTTCTTTCCACGACTTCACATGGCTTAATATCATACGGTGTTTGTTGTTTATTGGTGGTCGTATCTTTCTTAATAACACCATATCACCTACTTTAATCTCACTTGTCTGTACGTTCCTGTTATTGTCTGCATGTAATTTCATCTTCAATTTTGCTCTTTCATCCTGTACTCGAATTCTTTCCTCCGTATCTACATGAAATGGTTCTTCAGGTAAACGTACTTTCATTAGTCGACCGAATAAAGCCATAGATGGAGAGATTTTGGTCGAACTATGAGGTGTGGCACGATAATTTCGCAGGAACCTGTGGATTTCTTGCTTCCAATTTTTTCCCTCCATTATCGCAGCCTTTATTGTCTTTTTGATAGTACGCATAAAGCTTTCCACTTCCCCGTTGGCTCGTGGCCAATAAGGAATAACTTTTCTGTGTTTAAATCCCAAATACTTTAAAAACTCGTAAAATTCCTTGCTATTGAATGGCGGTCCATTGTCTGAACGAATGTTAAAGAAGAACAAGTTGACGGCGACAGAACAAAGCAGTCGATTCTTTATAGTCAAATCTGCTGGAAAACGTGACACGAAAACTTAAACATAAAATGAATCTATTGAAGAGATACAACTTCTAAGCAAAGCGAAAGACATTCAAAAACATGGCTGAAACCAACTTGCCTATGGAAGGGTATGACCAGGAAAGATTTATCGGTCAAGTTAATGAAGCGCATCGACGCAGTATTTGCTTAAAAATTTTGAAAAATCCGCTACATTGCCCAAACGAACATTAGTTCTGTCGCTACTGTATTATAAAATGATTAGAAGAAAATGCTACATGTCCTGAATGTGTGTGTTATCTCACAGTAGATACTTGCAAAAGCCTCCAAGAAAGGTAAAGGACATGCTTGAAAGACTGCTAATCCATTGTGCTATGCACACGTGGGTTCTAATCCCATCTTTGTCGCCAGATGTAATATTGTGAGATTTCACCCTTTTATTGCTTAGTCATATTACTTTTATGCAGATCATTACTTAATTATAATATACGTAGTATGACGTACGAAATACTAATAATTTACATAATAACTATATTACAAGATTTTATTGAAATAATCGAAAAACCCAAAATAGCAATGAAATATCAGACTGTCAGCGAAACTGTTAATCATTCAATTTAATAATCGCAAATATTTATGTTACGATAACCCGTCCCCAACGAGCAAGTAAAATCAGGTAGCCGTTTTTTTCGAGTAATTAAATACTTTGTCCATAAATAGCAAGTGTAAATGAAATACACCTTCCCTGACGCGCAAATAAAAATGAAACATCCCGTCCTTGACGAGGAAATATATTGTTTACATGTTAGTACTCGTGGTTTTTAGGTTCTTAACCATCACTATCAAGTCGCCATGCAACTTGAAAATAAATAATTCATTTAATCAAATATGCCAAATTACTTTAAGAACCGTTTGGTTCTTCTTACAACATTCAATTGTCACTTAGAATTTATTTTTAACTCTAACAAAAAACAACACCCTTTTAAACGTCACTTCATGTCTTTTATTCCGTCCAAGGCAGTAAGTCGTACTGTAGCCACAGGTTGACCTTTGTGCCAAATAGAAATTATATGTAATATATTAATCCCTAAGAAACTATTAGTTATCTGAATATACATATTGGCTATCAGAAGATATGAGCACAAAAATATCGAAAGAATTTTTATGGAAATGTTTAGTCTAGATTTAAAAACAAATGCAACTAACTTAAAGTTTTTTGTATTTATTGATGTAGCCAAAGCTGTAAAGAGTAAAATTGATAAAGTTGATGAATGCAAAAATTAAGAGAAATTATTCTTAATGCAGGTAATTTTCAACATGTTTTTTAAAAAGAGTATGATTTTATCAATAGTGGGTCTCATATTACTCCCCCTTACATACACACGCTTATGTCTATTTGAATTTAAATTTTGAATCTTTAATTTTTGTTTATGTGACGCAAACTTGCACAGTAGATATTTCTGTGTAAAGTTGAGATTACGAGCAACAGGTCTATTGTGCTCATTTTCTTTAATGGAATAATTTGCAGGATAAAAATATGGGAGTCAACACTTCTTATTGTTGTTTTGCTACAGGTGCTAGAGAGTACTATCGCGTTGGAGCTATATTAGCTTATGCATTGACATAAAATAGTCAGTTGCAAAGCACTCTTCCTCTTGACATTAAAGAGAATAATGATCAGCCAAGTTCAGACAAGTGCCTCCTTGACAATTTGTATTGAGTCTCGACAAAATTGAATACAGCCAAAAAAGGAAGATCCGATATTTTTCCCTTTTAACTTTAAAATGACGTAAGAGCACCTCACCAAAACTGGCCTCAAATTAAGCTTACTGTCATGTTTAATCTCGTCAAACATTGTGAAGATGACCCTGAGAAAAAAGTAAGTTGGTTGCATATTCTAATTGCAAAAGAGGAGATTAGTTCTGCAGAAAATGTTTACCTAACAAAATAATGTCCTTTTTTGGATCAAAAACCATAAGTGAGCAATGGAGCGTTGAGCAAAATGTGATCAAGGAAAAACTGCAAGGAAAAAATCAAGTATGCAGAAAAAAGCAAGAAAACAATTACTAGCTAATTTCTCATTGATATCAGATTATAACATACAAAAAAACGGGTTCAAAATATTTTCAACTTTCTGTTTTAAAGGATACCACTTCCCCAAATAAAAGATAGTTCAATCTAAAAAATCGAATGGAACTATAACTTGCTGTATTTTCATCCGATAAATCAAAGGAAACCAAGTAGTCAAATTAAATAGATTTGAGAAAGACTTGAAACAAAAACAATATACGAAAAATAGCTACATGGATAAGTGTACTGTACTGATTAACACAAATGGCGGTTCTCACGATTGTAAATATCTAAACGAATATTAATAACAACAAAAATATCGGACTTTCTGAACAAGCAGACAAAGAGTAGTTTTTCATTTTCTTAATTGCTTCACTTGGCTTCGCTGCTATCGATTCAAAATAAACAGACAAATTAAAAAATAGTGGAATTACATCGCTTGTCATGATTTTTTTTTTACCACAACTTTACGTTTTCTTTTACAAGATACTGACAACGTTTTTATTGTTGGTTACAAATGACACAACATACATTCTATGTTTTTTTGCACTGTTCCTGAAAATACATTTTCTCCCTGTGCTTTCTTTTTTACTTGCAGCTAATTGATTTGATCCATTCACATATAGAAATAATAACCTACACCATTTTTCCTTCCTCAGAATTTACTTTCTGCTGCCCTTAGAAAATTTGGAAAGCAATTCATAGCAAAATTATTGCATTATGACAACTGAACATGTAAACAGAATGGAAACCATAGAATATTATTGTTATAGTGCATGAATATCAGTCCATCGAACGTTCTCTGTTGGGGAACGCTGAAATGACTAAGAGAGCCAACAATTTCTAGCAAAATTTACATCATTAAAATGCACATTGAGTTAGATTTACGCTGATTGTTTCTCATACTGTGATATGTATTTGCAATGATTAACTATGCTGATTAAATTTTTCATCGTTGTTATCAATGGCTAACATATGAAGGCATTAATACGTTGGTACATCATTGCTGAATGAAGTTACGTTTGAAAAACACTATCTAATCTGTGTTTGTTTTAATGTTGTAAAAGTGTTTGCTTTTAGCAAAGGAAATAGTTTTTACTTGTAGCTACACTACGCTTCCTCTATAAGTGCACAAGCTTAAGTTCACATCACTTGAAGTGTTTTAGTTGCCAATGGTTATTCCATATCTTCCTATACATATTTTATGCTAAACACAACAAAATGATTGGAAAACAATAAAGACTGATGAAAGAAATTCTTTGAAAATGTATTCCAAGACAATGATCTGCAAGTGTTTAAAAGAAATTACACTTGATTTTTTTGTCTGTCCACAAGGAACTAAAATAATTCTAACTTAATGGCTTCTAAAATCTTATGACTGTGTTATGGTGAGCTTGCTGCTTTGTAAATGCTCGATATAGCGAGGCTTTTTACAATGAATTGACTGCCACTGCTTGTGACGTTATATGTTATTATTAAATATTAACTATTATAGTTCAAAAGATTTTTTAATTTGAGATTTTTTAAGATCAAAAATTTTTGCTTGTCGAAATTATATTTGTCACATCCGAATTATGGTGTATTTCTTGACTTGCACATTTTTCTCGATATTTGCGAATTAATGTTGTACGCCTACATTGGCTAGTTCCAGCAATAACACCGATAAATATTTTTTAAATCAGACTACTAACATGTCTGAATTACAATTCTATATTTATTTTGTATTTTTTTTTTCAGAAAAAGTGAGCTAAATACAAAGATATCTACATCAAGAACAACCTTTAGTGATGCAAACTAAATGACGTAATGTTATGGTTTAGAAGCCAAAACATTGATGATGATGACACTCAAACACGCGTAATTACGTCAATGCGCCTTATTACGTTAATGTTAGTTAATTAATTGCGTACACGCGATCTATTGTGAGGTGTTAAAACGTTACTCTAAAACGTGAGCGATATCTTACAACAAGTCACTTCAAACTCACTTGAGTAGTTGTTCAATTTGGCATCTTATCAATCTCACGACATATTGCTTAACTGAATGAACTGTTTGATGATTTAAAAAGTAGAAAAAAAGACAAATAGAAGTACCAAGCTTTAGACAAAAATAGGTTAATATATCACAAAGGCGTAATGAAAAGTTTCATAGCTAAAGCTCATTAACAAATATTCCCAATTGTTTTTATAACTCAGTTTTTTGCAAGGCAGAATTAAGAACAACAAAGTATTTTGTGTATAGCTGTTAATATATTATATCACAAGCAGAGAAAAGACAGTTGTTGGATTTATGGCTACTAACTATGATGACTCAAAGAAATGTTTTGTAATAATAAAAAAGTCCATCACTGTCATCTTTTACAAATATGTGTGAATTATGTCTGTACAAACACATTTTTATTCAAGAATTTTACTCAGTTGTTACAAAGATAAACGAAACGACCTTTTCCTTTGTCACCATCAATCTCTCAGTTTTAAATTCTGTAAAAGCAAGACCATTGAAATATTTACATCCTTGCTGATAGAACACAATATGAATCGATTTGAGAAGAGTTCATTGTTTCGTTTGCCCAATTCCATTATGTACAAATGGTACATGAAAAAAAGCAGTTATATTGCCGAGACGCATATCATTCATCGAACTGTACTACACAGAAGACAAAGATCGATTTACTAGAGAAAAGTCTTAAGTATATGCTACATTTTAATCCGATTAGCACGTCAACGTGAATCGTTTATTAAATTTTCCTTTCGCATCATCAACATCTGTAATAACAAAAATAGTTTGCCATATTTTAAAATTTTTACATAAGCCAAGAGATTTTTCATGATTTTAAAGTCATTTTATAGTTCACCTGCCCACATCCGACTAACTAAGTTTTGTGCAACGCCGTTAATTCGAGCTGTTAAGTAACTAAAGTTAAGGAGTTAACTACGGTAGTTAGCGTTAACTATAGTTAAAGTTAACTGCGTTTTTATACAACCGGCCCCAAGTTTTGTGCATTTGGTCAGTTTTATTTTGTATTGCATTATTCAATTTGTTGATAACTTATATTTTAATTTGCATCGTGGCTAATTTGTTCTTCATTCAGGACATTGTTTTTGTATCAAATACTTTGTTTTTAAATTAAAGGGAGAGTTTGTAAATTTATATATTAATTTGTGAATTGCAGACACGGCCACCGTAAATTATACATGAGTAAAAGGACAAAGTATTGTAGTTCTTGCATACATTATGTTATAGATCATAAGAACTTACGTTGACTGATCTTGAAATCAGTAAAAACTGATAGAACATTGTTTCTGATTTTTGTCTTTAAACCTTTTATTGACCATATTCATGAATATCTACATCCATATTTTACAAGTAATTTAAAAACATTCTTTCAGCTGCTGAAACAAATTTTAATTATTTAAAAGGACGTTTTGGACAGTATATAAAAGCGTAGATGCACATCAGACAAATTTTAATTATTTAAAGGACGTTTGGACAATATATAAAGTGTAGATGCGTATAGATACATGCGTCACGTTCATTGAAGTTATACATTTAATTTTACATTCGCAAACTGTTATACTGTCGGTCTTTGAATATGTTTTCTTCTTTGTTGGCATATGTTCCGATTGCAACATATATAATCACAATTGCTTTAGAAGTATACTGTGGTATTACCGAAAAAACCATGCTGCGTTTGCTGAAAAACGGTTAGTCTGTGTAATGTTTTATGTTTGTATTTTAAAGCCATACTTTTTGAATTTATCTGTATATTTTACATGTTACACATTTTTTTTCGTGTATATATTAATAAATTTTTTCATGTGCACAAGTGCATTTGACTGTGATAGTTTTTATAAGAGACGTGCAAGAAAGATATTTTCATTCCTTAGAGCCTGTTCATATAAGACTGGCTATCCTGCTTTGATCGGGCTAGCTACGTTTGCCAGGATCTCACCTCATATATTAATTCACTTTATATTTGAAATTGCGCTCATTCTCCCATCATTTTTTTGTACTTCTAGCCTAAACCAAGCATCTCCTTTTCTTTCGCAGGAATCTTCTTCACATTGCATATTTCAACTTTCCATAAATAACAGATCGTCTACTCGATGAAATTCTCATAATCGCATCGTTCTTTTTTTTAACATGTGTTTGCAAGTCGAAACAACTATGCTCATTTGAAAATGAATAAATAATTCTACCTATCACTGCTGCATTTGCCGGTGATAACATGATTTTGCTTTTAATTTTAGATCAAAATTAAAAATGTTTTGAGTACAGAAATTTTAAATGATGCAACTTAATGCAAACGTATTTAATTTTCCAGCGTAAAGCAACATTCACGCGCAGAAATTGTTACGTCATACCAGCCGAGCCAGCCCGTGTCGTATGAATGCAAATACAAACTAGCCCGGCAAGCCTTTAAGTGCCTTAATGTTATAACAAATTTAAATTTTTTTTGAAAATTTTTTTTAGAACTAATTATACCTAGCCATTGCAGATATATTGTTTAAGTTAATATTATTCATACCATTGCGTTATATATTTTAGAGACATGTCCATTAAAAGAAAATGTTTTGTTTGAAGCATTTTACTCATCGGCAGATTCATGTGTATTCAAATATTTACAAGAATTATTCTGTGTTGGTTTAACTTTCGAAATGACATAATGAAGGAAGATGTAAATTGTCAATTAACTCACAAACGTCCACAGAATTATGAAACATGTACTGATAACAAGTGGAGTTTCTATGAATTGCTGAATCCACAAAGAAAGGTATGGTGGAAAATTATATTAACAGTTTTTAAATTATTGACAAAGCTACTAATCTTGAATAATTGCACATTTGATTTATAAAGATACCATATAACAAAGAAAAGTTGTGTGAAAATGGTGGAATGACGATTGTTGACTTAAGAGACGGACCTGGTTCTGATCCTTACAGATGTCAATGTCCTTTTGGCTTTACGGGAAGACATTGTTCGGTAAAGCTAAGTAAGTTTGTTAGAAAATGGCAAGCAGTACAATTTCTTAAGATGGTTGCAATCTTTTGCCTTTCTTCCCTAATCAAATTTCACTTCACAAACAAAACATGACGAAAACATTTGACTTCATAGCTACATTAAAATTTGAATATGCTGATTTTAAGCTACCCTATATATATTCTGTAGAAAAGAGCAGGTCACAAAACGTATAATCGGCAAGTTCCAGTAAGCTGTATAAGGTATTTTGATTCAACGCAAAGATTAAACACTGTACCATCTGAAGTAGCTTGATAAACCTGCATTGTGCAATTCTATTGATGTTTTTTTATAGTTCTAAGCACATTAAATAAGATGAAATGAGAAGGTCTTTTTTCCAAAATAATTTGGTACTAAAAACTGACACTGTTTTTATGCCGATGCTTAGAGATATTCAAAACAATTGAAGAGCATTAGCTTGAATAGTCTTTTTCTCCAAATCTCTAGCACTTGCTAAACCAATTATGTCATTATAACTAAAATATTTTTTAGTATCTAGGGATATCCAAAATTAGATAAAAATTGATTTAGTTTGAAGAGGTTTATATCTAAAGCAAGCACAAGAACTTGTGGAAACTCGACACATTTCAATTTTTTAGCATGGTCTGTAAGCATTGTTTTAAAGTTTGTAATGAACTTTTTGTTAGGTTTTCAAAAATCTTGTAAGTAGCCGGACAAACATAATGCACAAAAAATATTTCCAAAGTCAGTATCAATCTGAAAAATAGCTAGGCTCCTCGTTTAAAAGTAAATAAGAAAATGAAAGTTTATTTTCTTTGTTTAAGATGATTTAATTGTGACATCATGGAAACCATATTGCGCGGTGGATCATATAGCATCATATAGCATCATGTGTCTTTAACAGAACCTTTTTTTTTCTTTCTATTAATACTTTCATCTGTCCAAGCTTTGGCATAATGAGTACTCATTACCAGGGCCGAAACGAGAACGTTAATTTACGGCGGATATTCTTCTATATTTAGCTCTGTTCGACTGATTTTGTTTGTTAAAGTTATTATTTCAAAAGAAATCAGTCGGGCAGATCCACTTCCAAAAAATAGCATTCTAGATTTGGCCCTGCTCATAACAGGCATAGAAAATCTATGGTGCCATAGGCCGCCCGACTTTTACCAACAGGGAAAATTTGCCTTTTCTGGAATGAAAGTGCCCTTTTCATGGTGTAGAAATGCCCTTGTTTTAGGTAAAATTGGACTGAAGAAGTTTTTCTTAGATAAAAGTAGCCTCGAGAGTAGAACAAAGTCTGTCGGCATCATGCGAAATCAGCTATAGCTTAGTTTTTTATCTTGATTACCCAGATGGATCAAAAATCGCGTATGTTGATTAGGGTTGTCTTCGCAGACGTCCGCCCAGTAACTTAATCAACCAATGAGAAGTCGCAATTTATGATCCACATGAGACTATAAATTCTATGGCAACTTATTGCTCCCGTCGTATTGTCTTTCAGGCCATTGGTCCTACAAAACTGTTGACAATTCATGATCATAATAATTGAAAATTTTGCGGTTTAAATCACTTTAATCAAAATCATCATGCCTAGAGCTGCTAGGTGAAAACAAGAAAAGGAAAAAGAGCTTGTAGAAACAGCTAAAAGGTTGCGAAAACTGACGAGTTTTTTTGTAGTGCTCCAGCAGAGAATGTTGTTGACCAAAACATCGACTCTATGTCTAGTTTGACACTGCCGTCAGCTACAGAAACTCCATCAACGTATTTATCTCCTCATTCTCATTCCAAACCAAACTTCGGCAATTCTGAGTTTATATCGTCTTTAGAGATACTAGTCGCGCCGCCGACCGAGCCAGTTCACACACCTTCTCAAAACCTAACATATGCGTCTTTGACAAGTTCCACGACTACCACCCTATTGGTAGGACCTATGCAAATTGAGTCAACGGAATGTTTGCTAGGACTCGATTGTAAGAATTTGTGCTGTACAGGCCGACAGCCTTACCATCCTACACTAGAAGAAATAAAGCACACGTCTTACTTTGATTTACTTTGTTGCTCCAATGAGCGCAGCCTCTGGAGAACTTTTTTTTCATACCAGCGGCTTGTCAAGACACATCTCAGGAGCACAATGACGGCGGCACGCTACAATAATCTTATTGTTATGGATGTAAACAAGGCCAGAACTGACGAACTGGACTTACGTTTAGTAGCTAAGGACTTTGTTCTGAAAAACGAACGTAGGGTTAGATTTTTTGGGAAATTTTATTGAGATCGCTTTACTTAATAAAATTGTTCATGTAGTCATCTTAGTTTGTTAGCACGCACGCCGAGCAGTAGTGAATACGCATAGCATTTTAAGAATGTTTACCAATATTTTGCAGACTTTGAAACTTAATCATGATTCATGAAACAATGCATATCTGTAATATACTAAAACAGTAAGCTGCAAGCTCACATGCCCTTTTCGGTCAGTGCCCCCCTACTTTTGAGATACTTCCGCGGCCCCTGGCCATAGGGATGTGTCAAGACTTTTAAAGGCTTGTCCAACCAGCATAACTCAGAACAACATTGACATCGGATCAGAAATAGAATGATTTAGAATAACAATGCAAAAGTATAATTACAATGAGCTCCATTGCCCGACATTTAAGAAAAGTAAGCTATTTTAACACCAGAACTTTTGCGTTGGTTTTCTTATTTTAAATACGTTTTTGAAACATTTTGGTTTCTACTATTCTGCAGAACTTGCAAAAACTCTAAAATTTAACTCATTAGCTTTTCTAGAAATATTTAGATTTGTCACCATCATAAAATCTCTGTTTGATTTAATTAATACTATTTTATGTTTAGTTTTTTCGTCATGCGAAGAGGCGATGAGAAATGGCAGGTATATATAAGAAAATTTACTATATTTAAGTCAATACTATACAGAATATTTTTTATAACTAATGTGTAACCAGAAATGAAGAAAGGTATAAACTGGTGTTTTAATCAAATATTAAAAATTTTTTCGACTACCATACTTTGTATTTTTAGATAGCACAAACAGTCTCTTAGAATTTGAGGTTCTATGTCATGCACATCTGATGATTAGCAATGTCAAATATACAAAGATATTAATACTTTCTATTAAATTATTTCTTGGAATAAATTCTTATGTGATAATAATAACTTTTCCTATTTGCCTTCTTAAACAACTTTTTAAACTCTGCAATAAGAATACAGTTCGCCAGAAAAGTTAAAACTTTAACTTCCGTTTATTACACTTGATGTAATAAATAAACCTCTTTGAAAAGACTTTAAAGAACATGTCATCATTTCAACATATTCTAACAATATAAATATTATAGAAATTATAGTTGATGTTACTTTTACTCTACTCTATCAAAAATGGTTTCGGCTTTATTTTTATTAGTCCAAAAAATTTACAATTTTATTCAATTTTTTTAAATGATATTGTTTGAATCGTAGGATAATTTTATTCAATTTTCTCTAAATAACATTCGTCTTAAATAGTTTAAAGGACGGGATGTACTTGATCAGCACCAACACTTTAATGGGATACAGCAAAGTTTTTTGTATGCGTAAAACAACGGGTTGCTTGAGAGAAGGCTGGACTCTAGTCTTGAAAATTGATGGAACAAAGGTAAAAAGGAAATATTTTTGAATGTTTTGATAGCTGATAGAAAATTTTAGGAAATATAATTCCTAAACACATTTTTTTCTTCCTAAAAATACTTCTTATAATAACAATATTTATCATAAAAATGATATATTTTATGCGCAAAATAAAGTGAAAGCAGTAATATCTTAAAATTTCTAATGATCTTAGAGTTGAAATGGATTTATTTCCTAGTAAAAAAACGCATTATTTTCTTGCATTGTCATTAGACATGCTAATATTTTCACTTTTTCAATATTGCATATGATTATTACTGCCAAGGGTGGATGGCATTAAAATTGAAAAAAAGAAAGCTTTCTATTTCCATGCACTTTACTTTACCAATGACTACTGCAATTTGTGGTAATTGCTGAATATCGAATAATTCGACAATAATACAATTAAGTCCAACATCGTTGCCAGAAATTTACTAGGCAGATTGCAAATATGAGCTTTTATATTCTGAGCTAAGATTCGCTTTTGCCTGGTAAGTCAAACATACTATTTAACACCCTTGATAAGCTTCAGGTGATTTTATTGAGAATTTAAGGCTATACATAAAACCTTGAAAACACTATTTCACTTCTCATGGCAGTTCTTGCCTCGTTATATGTGTAGTATACCATCCAACATCGAATGATATATATTTTAATAATAGAACATTTGTCTTCTAAATAAGATTGCGAAACACCCTAATACAAAAATGCTAAGTGTTTTAGACCCTATCGCGTTTGTGCTGACGTTTTATAAATTGCTAAGGAGCGTTCTAAGGGCAGTTCTTTTTTTCACCCAATAGGCAATAAGAAAACTTTAAAAAATTTATAATATACTGCATGCACTGAGAGATCATAAATCTATGCTTTGTGGACGTGTCAAACATTACCTTAAAAATAGAACACATAAAGTGAAGATCAGACAATTTAACTATAATGTTCTTAGAAATTGTTTATCCAGTGTCTTTATTGAAGTAGCTCGTACACTATTTTAACAATTAGACAGAATATTGAAACTTTTCTGTTTAACTGAATAAATCAAATTTTGTATATTTAAAAAAATATTACTTGACTTCTTTTTAATTTGTGCACAATTAAATCATGGGCACTCCTTGACAATGAAATAATCTGCACAGACTGTCAAATTGATCAGATTGCGCAAAAAAAATCACCAGAACTAGGCATACCAAATGAGAAACGCAAAAAAGTTAATTTTTTTTGCCATCTATTGTAGTTTAAATAATTGCGTTACATTATTGGCTCATGCCAATTTTAAGTGGCAAAGTATTTATCACACTACCTTTAGCTAATGCAATGCACGTGGTTTCGTCCAGGGCTTTATACAACTAGGACTTTCCTCTCTAAGATAATTTTTTAAAGTAGAGTGGATTCGTCTTAAAGGACTTTGACCATTTGTTATTATAAACATTTTGTCCTTCATTATAGAAAGCAAAACAATTTCTCTTATGAATGTTGTCATTATCACACTCATATTTATTCTTTCCCTCACAGCAATTAGCAGATAAATTAACACTGCTTTAGATATACAAAACACTTAGTTTGAATGTCACTTTGGTTGTAACATTATCTGCATAACTTCGTATAACAGTTCCACAACTTTCAAAACTTATTCTTGAATTTGAACCATTAAATTTCCTAATTGCATTTTGCTGTCAAAAACATATTGACTTTGTTCACTAACTATTTTTTACTAAAATATTTTAATACAAGACGATGGTCAGGTCAACACTCTCCTTTGCGATTGCATATGACATATTTCAAAGTTAATAAGACGCCCATTAGGCACTAAATTGGGCTACTGGGGAGAGCAGTCTTTGGATATATTTGCGTATTATATTTAGAAATATATTATTCAGTAAATCGTGTTTCGTTTTACGTATCATGCTTAAAACTGGCGCATGAAACGATCTAAGAAATATTTTTGTTGGTTTACGAGTTGTCATCGGTCTGTGCAAGCAAAGATTAAAAATATACAATCAACGTGATAATAAGCAATTATTGGACGAGGTTGGGTATGATATAAAAAATTTTCGGACTGAGGTGAACGTTATCTTCCAAAGCAAAGCTGAGGCGGATAACAAGGACCGAGGTGTGAATAATTTTTGATATCATGTGAAATACGAATTCAATAATTTTTTTATTATTCACTTTAACTAAATGAAATATTATTAAAACTGATAAATGCAAAACATTTTTAAAACTTTGCTAATTTTTTACTGAAACAAAACTTGTTTATTACAGGCCTTCTCGTTTTATTATGCTGTAAATATGTTCAAAAGCAGTTTCTTCGCTTTTTAGTCTTTTCACATGCTTCTTGCTGAAAAACTTTCGCTTATTGTGTTTAGAAATTACGGTAAACATCGCTATTATTTTATTTTTCAAAACCCTTTTTAAATAGCGTCGATAATTGTAGAAACTATTATCCGTAGATGTGACATCATAATTACAGATGTCGAGAATTATCTGCAGGTAATTGACCAATCCATCGCTAAAATTGCTTACATCGTGAGTTATAATGGGCATTATTACCAATACGATCAAGATAGCAAAAATGGAATTAATTTATCATTATTTATTGCATTTGGATGGATGGAATTTTGAAGTTCACATTATATATTTCAAATACTCATTTTTTTAAAGAACAAAATCAACGCTGTTTTTTCAATTTTTTTTCATTCGTTTGTGATACGAATTTATTAAATTTAGAAAACCTTCCGATATAATTCACCGCTTTGGAGCAACAAGAAGAGTTATATGACGGAAAATGGTGAAACTGGATTAAATGATCTTGAAACAAAACTTCCTACTTACTGGAGCACTAAAATAAAGAAGATGTGTGTTGGAATGAAAGTAAACAGTACAATAAAATTCATAAGTTTTGAAATGCAAGCTGAGTCCTTATACGACCTCATTGCTGACGGAAAATATAGGAAAACCACTTTGAGTCGTAGCCAATGGTTGACATTAGTTGAAAACAGCTTCCTTCAACAATACTGTGATAGAGAAGGCTTTAACGTCGTTGGACAAAATAATGTAAACGCTCAAGTAATGCTTGGCATTTTGGGAAATGAACAAAACGACTGTACTACACCGGACTCTTTCCTTGGCTTTGGTGGATCACATGAATGTAATTTTTGCGGCGTGAACAGCTGTGGTAATTTTGTTTCTCACAGTAGCAATGACAAAAATGTTCGAGCTATGGGATATATTTTTGTTATTTAGTAACTGTTATACAGGCAATGCTTGACGTTTTAATTGTCTCATTTTCCTCATGGAAATGCAAAACCAAACCAAATTGTAAAAGATATACTTTATAAAATAAGATTATGATATACTTCATTGCAAACTAAATGAATGTTTATAGTTTTAATAGAAGTGTAACAATTTCTTTGTATTTCGGAAATATGCAATAAATATTTAATATTTATGTCGAACAATTCTTTTAAATGCAGGAGAACAGTCAAGAATTGCTGCTAATTGTAAGAGTTAAAGGAAAATGTTTAAGCCGCTATAATTTGTTCTTGACTGTACCGTTTCGTTTATCCGTAATGTTTTACGTGCGTGTTTGCGTGCACAATGTACAAGTACACTTTTCAATTAACTATCAAGTCGCCATGCAACTTGAAAATAAATAATTCATTTAATCAAATATGCCAAATTACTTTAAGAACCGTTTGGTTCTTCTTACAACATTCAATTGTCACTCAGAATTTATTTTTAACTCTAACAAAAAACAACACCTTTTAAACGTCACTTCATGTCTTTTATTCCGTCCAAGGCGGTAGGTCGTACTGTAGCCAGAGGTTGACCTTTGTGCCAAATAGAAATTATATGTAATAAATTAATCCCTAAGAAACTATTGGTTGTCTGAATATACATATTAGCTATCAGAAGATATGAGCACAAAAATATCGAAATAATTTTTATGGAAATTTTTAGTCTAGATTTAAAATCAAATTCAACTAACTTAAAGTTTTTTGTATTTTGGATGTAGCCAAAGCTGTAAAGAGTAAAATTGATAAAGTTGATGAATGCAAAAATTAAGAGAAAATTATTCTTAATGCAGGTAATTTTTAACATGTTTTTAAAAAAGAGTATGATTTTATCAATAGTGGGTCTCATATTACTCCACCTTACATACACACGCTTATGTCTGTTTGAATTTAAATTTTGAATCTTTAATTTTTGTTTATGTGACGCAAACTTGCACAATAGATATTTTTTGTGTAAAGTTGAGATTACGAGCAACAGGTCTATTGTGCTCATTTTCTTTAATGGAATAATTTGCAGGATAAAAATATGGGAGTCAACACTTCTTATTGTTGTTTTGCTACAGGTGCTAGAGAGTTTCTGAAGAGTACTACTCTTTATACCTTTGCATTGCAGATACATTGTTTAAGTTAATATTATTCATACCATTGCGTTATATATTTAAGAGACATGTCCATTAAAAGAAAATGTTTTGCTTGAAGCATTTTACTCATCGGCAGATTCATGTGCATTCAAATGTTTACAAAAACTATTCTGTGTTGAGTTTAACTTTCGAAATGACATAATAAAGAAGATATAAATTGTCAATTAACTCACAAACGTCCACAGAATTATGAAACATGTACTGATAACAAGTGGAGTTTCTATGAATTGCTGAATCCACAAAGAAAGGTATGGTGGAAAATTATATTAACAGTTTTAAATTATTTTTATTGACAAAGCTACTAATCTTGAATAATTGCACATTTGATTTATAAAGATACCATACAGCAAAGAAAAGTTGTGTGAAAATGGCGGAATGACGATTGTTGACTTTAGAGACGGACCTGGTTCTGATCCTTACAGATTTCAATGTCCTTTTGGCTTTACGGGAAGATATTGTTCGGTAAAACTAAGTAAGTTTGTTAGAAAATGGCAAGCAGAACAATTTCTTAAAATGGTTTCAATCTTTTGCCTTCTCCACTAATCAAATTTCACTTCACAAACAAAACATGACAAAAACATTTGACTTAATAGCTACATTAAAATTTGAATATGCTGATTTTAAGCTGCTCTATATATATTCTGTAGAGTAGAGCAAGGTCGCAAAACGTATAATCGGCAAGTTCCAGTAAGCTGTATAAGGTATTTTTATTCAACGCAAAGATTAAACACTGTACCATCTGAAGTAGCTTGATAAACCTGCATTGTGCAATTCTATTGATGTATTTTTTTATAGTTCTAAGCACATTAAATAAGATGAAATGAGAAGGGATTTTTTCCAAAACAATTTGGTACTAAAAACTGACACTGTTTTTATCGCCGATGCTTAGAGATATTCAAGACAATTGAAGAGCATTAGCTTGAATAGTCTTTTTTTCCAAATCTCTAGCACTTGCTAAACCAATTATGTCATTATAACTAAGATATTTTTGGTATCTAGGGATATCCAAAATTAGATAAAAATTGATTTAGTTTGAAGAGGTTTATATCTAAAGCAAGCACAAGAACTTGTGGAAACTCGACACATTTCAATTTTTTAGCATGGTCTGTAAGCACTGTTTTAATGTTTGTAATAAACTTTTTGTTAGGTTTTCAAAAATCTTGTAAGTAGCCTGACAAACATAATGCACAGAAAATATTTTCAAAGACAGTATCAATCTGAAAAATAGCTAGGCTCCTCGTTTTGAAAGTAAATAAGAAAATGAAAGTTATTTTTCTTTGATTAAGATGACTTAATTGTGACATCATGGAAACCATATTGCGCAGTGGATCATATAGCATCATATAGCATCATATGTCTTTAACAGAACCTTTTTTTCTTTCTATTAATACTTTCATCTGTCCAAGCTTTGGCATAATGAGTACTCATTACCAGGGCCGAAACGAGAACGTTAATTTAGGGCGGATATTCTTCTATATTTAGCTCTGCTCGACTGCTTTTGTTTGTTAAAGTTATTATTTCAAAAGAAATCAGTCGGGCAGGGTTTAATTTATGAAGATCCACCTCCCCCCCAAAAAAATAGCATTCTAGTTTTGGCCCTACTTATAACAGGCATAGGAAAATTCTATGGTGCCATTGGGATGTGTCAAGACTTTTAAAGGCTTGTCCAACTAGCATCACTCAGAATAAAATTGACATCGGATCAGAAATAGAATGATTTAGAATAACAATGCAAAAGTATAATTACAATGAACTTCATTGCCCGAAATTTAAGGAAAGTAAGCCATTTTTACACCATTTATTCTAAAATAAGTCTTTTAAACTCTTTGGTTTCTACTATTCTGCAGAACTTGCAAAAACTCTCAAATTTTCACTCATTAGCTTTTCTAGAAATATTTAGATTTGTCACCATCATAAAATCTCTGTTTAATTTAATTAATACTATTTTATGTTTAGTTTTTTCGCAATTGGTGTTTTCCAATTCACGAGAAAGGTCTACACAAACAAAAAAGAAATTTTCGACAAAGGCAGTAAAAACACAGACACTGATAACATCAAGCTAGGCCACTTTTCTAGAAAAATGTCTTTTTCCTAGTTTGACTGCCACAACTTTGTCTTTGTCCAGAATATCATCAATCGAGAATGAGGACATTGCAAATTCTACAACAATTATAGCAAGGATGCCACAGATTTTGTGCTTTCTGCAGCAGTCGATGTTGACAGTGAGAGCACGAAGTGTGCCAATTCAAGTCTGGATCTTGGTTTTATGGATAGCGATGCTGAATTTTCAAACTTGTCCCCGTTCACAAACAGTGATGAAAGCAGCGGAGAAGAAGTTAGCTCCAAGAAGAACAAGACTGAATCAAAGGAGAACCACCTGAAAAGCAGATGAAATTTATCGTGTTCTAGGATGCAATTGTAGATGCTTTCGGTCGTTGCTGTCGATGTCATGCGAAAGGCATCGTAGCAATTGAAAATCGAATTGGTTCCTCTTGCAATATTAGCGTTTCCTGCACGGCTAAACCTGAACATTCTTTTACATGGGCAACTGGACCATTGCTATTCAAAATGCCAGTATTTCATTTACTATTAGCATCTGCAATTTTGCAACAGGCATGAGATCTTCGCTCTTTATTGTTTAATGCGCTTAACATTCTAATCTGAAGCAGCGAGTTGTCAAGTATATTTAAAGTTATGCAATTCCTTCAATATATCATTGCAGAACAATCTGATCAAAGATCAGATGTTGAGCCAATTGCTATTGCATCTGATATCAATAGTCATGTCATAGCGATCAGAAGTACTTGGAAATGAAAAGAAACATTTTAGATACAGCAGTGAAGCTATTACCCCATATTTCTAATTGAAATTCCTTAGCAATTTGAATTTATTTACAGATAAAACAGATAATGTTAATCTTCGTTTTGCAGTCCTGAAGTAAAAAGTTCACGCGATGGCACTTCGTTAAAAGGCAACTAAATACTTGGAAGACAATGTGGCTAAAATGAACAATGGTGACAGACCGCAATGTCATCTGTTATCTGGCAATGAAGTAGATCATGCATATGAGTGGTATGTGGCAAAGGTATATATATGTATAATTCTAATTTATCTCTGGCATCATATATATTCTATGATATGAAAGTAATATTAGTAAATTAAGTACAATCTTCATATACTTTGAAACTGGTGGTTCAAAGACAAAGAAATTCACGTATTCAGCCATGGAGTATGCATGTCATGCATGTAAATGTATAGCATGTATGTGTTCCTGCAGGAATCGTCATTGCATTATGACAATAGCCTGAGGGCACATTGTGATACATATAGTATTTATATATATATATATATATATATATATGTTGTTCAAAGTTGACAGCCAGGAGTCGCTGCGAGATAAGCCTCGGTGTTTACAATATGCTCACGGCGTGCGTTTCAAACAGCCTCTGTCAACCAAGTCCAACTCCTGGCCTGCTCGTGTGGCTTTACTTCTAAGCCCGGCGGAATTTCTTTAACCGACAGGAGAAGGGGCGAAGGCGGGTCCTGGCGCCATAAAACCAGATGCTTCGGGCAGGTGGTGGCTCGTGAACCCAGGAGGTTAGCCAACCTAGGGGAAGGAAAACCCTGACTCCAAACCCCCGCTGCCTTGCGGCATCCCCGGTCATGGGAAAGGTTAAGAGACGGATACTCCGAAGAAGACCACTCTACCACTGAGCTAAATGAAGCTTGAAATTTTTACAAGGTAAAGGATGCACCCGCTGGGGCTGCTTTACACTTGGCAGCTTCTGAACCTGTGGGGCATTGAGCGTCAGTACGCGAGAGGGTGGAGACGGGCATGGACGTTCCCTCTTAGCCTAAAACATTCACCTGTGCCGGTCAGGCGTAAACCGCCGTAAACCTAGGGCAGATACGGCGCCAGTATCCTCTTGCATTGACAGAGCAGCCCTCTTTAGGGTTAGCACAGCTCTCCACACATGGAGAAGGGGAGATAAAAGGATCCCTAAACAAAGCTTGGCCTACTTGCACCTGGCAAAACCGCACCTGCGTGGGCATCCAACAAAGCGGTCGTACAACTAAGGATAACAAAGCAAGAAAGCCCTTAACCATTAGGGCATGGAACGTGAGAACGCGGTTGGACAGAGGAGACAGACCAGAGCGACGTACTGCTCTATGAGCAAGGATGCTGGGACAATACCAGGTGGACATAGGCCGTATTGAGTGAGAGCAGACTTGCA